GGATGACAGGAGGGGTAATCCAATAACATCTGGAAGGTCAGACTTTTCCCATTTGGGGGCTAAAGAGAGGTTAAGAACTTCTGAGAAAAAACCATCTGCACATTTTTATTAGAACAGGTGTGACCTTAATTCATCACACCTTTGAAAAGTAAACACATTTTAATGCTTTCCTCCTAAAGCCAGGAGTCTCCAGCAGTCACCTCCAGAAAAGGCCAGACTTTCCTCAGTCTCCAAATACTGTGTTATATCCTTGGAGCTAGATCAGACAAACATTCCCCAGTGAACATGACTGAGTCTGGTCCTCTCTGATAGACAAGCCCCCAGGCTAGCCAAGGGTATGTGTCTTGCATTGACTTTCTGTCAGAGCAATATTTCTGTCAAGGCCAGAAAGGAAGATCAGACAGATTCCCCAGTTGTTTTGCTTTTCCCACTTTTATGTAGTTTCTTTGCTCATGCGAAGATTTTTCAGCCTAGTTATTTTGAAAGGGCTGTACAGGAGGGCCGCGGCAGTAGACAGACAGAGGCAACTTTAGAGCAGGAGGAGAAATACAGACCCCATTAAGGAAGCTTTCAGGGGCGGAGGATCCGTGGCCTCCAGAGGTTGTTGGATCCCGATTTGTCAGGCACAGCCAGGATGGCCAACGGTCAGGGACCACAGGCAGGGTGGTCCCACATCTGGAAGGGCACATGATCCCCAGCCTGTCGTTCCACTGTGCAGCCTCCGGTGAGTAAAACAGGAATGACCCCTCCTCCCCTTGGGTGGGCTTCTATGCGCAAGCTGCACAGCATGGCAGAAAAGGACAGAGCGATACAGGGCACCAGTGCCTCTATCGAAACAATTTAAAGCATCAGTGTTGTGCGCAGTGTGTGTGACATTTGGGGTTGTCTTAATACTGGTATGCCTAGGGTGACTCCTGTCAGTGGGCCCACAGCTGCAGTGGGGGGCCCCTGACATCAGCCTGAGCCATAATGGATTCAGCCTATTTCCTATAATTTTGGAAAGAAAGGGTTAGGGGGAAGAATTTGGCATCCTTCATACACAGAATGCGAGAGAGGATCAAATCTGACTCTGTGTTCATGGCCTCCCGAGGTGCCTGGCTCCGTTTATCCTCACTCTACTCAACCCAGCTTCTGGCAACCCTTTCCCTGCCTCACTTCTCTCTCTGTTAAGCTGGGACCATCCTGCCTAGATCAAGGGAGGGCGGCTGCAACTCGCCATCCAAAGGAGCAGCAAGGGCACCAAACACAAGCGTGCTTTTGGGGGAAGGTGGCAGTCCTCCACGTGCACGGACTCCCCCACTGGGACGATCTCCCAAGCTTGTACATCGCCCCCCAGCTCCTCCACGGAAGGCGGCTTGTGTCGGGGCTCGCGTGAAACTGCACTGTTGGTTGTGACCAGCAGGGGAAGGAGAACACCAGGCTCTGCTCCTCCTGCCACACACATTCCCAATCTGCTGGGGCAGACTGAAGACCTCCGTCTGGTGGCCAGGCGGAGAAGGCGGCCCAGCACACCCTACAAGTACTTGCAGGATGGGCATCAGATCAGTAGGTACTTGCAGGATGGGGATCAAAAGAATCCTGCCAACCAACCAGCTGAAAGCGCCAGGACAGGCTTCTCAGTCCCGCGTGGCTCTGCCGCAGCAACACGGCTCGTCATGGCCCCGATGGTGGCTTCTCGTTCGTTAATCCTGCTTCTGCTTGTGCCTGGCCTCCGGCCCTGCCCTGCCTTCCTGGTATCTGACCGCTGCCTTTGTCTCTAGCCCTGCTACATATGGCCAAGTTCTCCATCTCCTTCGGCCTGCTTCTCTAGCTGAAGACACCTACTGACCTTGTGGAGCTAACGGGCAGAGTATCATCCTCCAGCCAGTCGCTAAAAGTACGGAATGAATTCCATGAGCCCAAGGGTGGTATGTATACTTATCTCACTTATCTTTTTTCTCTTGATGCGAAGCAACTCCATGCCACAAGCAAATTATGTTGACATTGCCGTGAGTGGCAATGCAGGCTCAGCTTCTGGGCTGGTGCCAGTCTCTTGCATGAGCTACGGAGCAGTTGGTAAGCAGAGATGAGGAGTGGTATACAAGAGGTGGAACCTTCTTAGTGGTGCTAATGGGATACTGTGGACCACTAATGACGGAATCCTTTCCCAGAGGAGCTCCACCTGGTTACCTCTCTTACCATTTAGTTGCAGGAAATCTTTCAAATATCAAGGAGCTTTGAATGTGTGAAAAGAACTTCTTTAAACTGTGGCCTGTTAGTGCTGTCCTTGGGATGTAAAAGCAGTCCACCATGTCGATGTAGAGCAGCACAGTGCAGAAATTACTACTGGACCCACTAACATATACATTAAGGAGCCAATCGGCAAGGTAGCTCAGCCCCTGCCCTGCCTCCGTGCATCCCCCGCACCTTCCTGCTGCCGTCAGAGAAAGGCGCACCACTGGAAGCGAAAGGGACCTGCGTGATCAAAGCCAAGGTGGAGAAAGCCATGGATGCAGCAGTGCACGCATCTGGGTTGCTTTACGGGGGGACTGCGAGATGTCCATGGAGGACAAGGCGAGTGCTGGCTCCACCAGGTGCTGTTTCCACTATCAGGGGCAGCATGGCTGTGTGCAGCAGTGGCTGGAGCGCGCGAGTGGCAGGGCTGTGCCCTCGCGTCCCGCCTCCGGGATCCCACGGCGTGGCCGGGCCAGTGCGGGCCTCTCCCCGGCCCCAGCACGGCTGCCCTCGGATGCCCGTAGCGATGCTGCAGGTGCTCCCTGCTGGGCATCTGCCGCACTCCTCTGGTGAGCAGTGGGAGCACCTGCACATTCGTGCCTTTCACCCCGCCAATGTTTTCGCGTGCCTCTGTCTGCAACTAGCAGGTCGTATTTCCGAAAAAAACTGGCCCCCAACTACACAAAAGGCTGCTCACCACTGGTAGGCACACAGGCAAACACACGCGCTCAGCAGATTTTTGTTCCAAGTTGCCCAAGGCTTGAATCGTTCAGCATGAAAATGGAACAAGTCTTTAAAAGAAAAAAGCTGGAGGAGGAAATAATCTGTATAGATCTTCAAGTCCATTACCTCCCACAATGCATGCCTTGTCTCTTTGCTTGCAGAAGGTGCTTGATCATGTCTCCCATCTGTAGTCTAAGTACTCTTCCACCCCCTCGGAGAGGCAGTGCCTCTGGCAGCGACGCCTTCCAAGCGGGGCACGGGGCCAGCGCTGGCACAAAGGGCTGCGTGTTTCGGCTGGTGTCAGCAGTGCGAATGCAGGCCTGAGCGCCAGGATTCCCAGGCACTTGCGGCTCCAGCCAGCATCTGCTGCGCAGGTGAAAGCCACGATTCACAGTGCAGGATGAGGCCCCGAGAAACAAGGGTCACAGGGACAGAGCGGAGTTGGGGAGGTTTAAAGCAAAGGAAAAGAAAAGGGCTCTTGTACTGGCTGAGAATAAAATGATTCTGGCAGAAGACTGAAGCAAAGATAAGAGCAGGGGCTCGGGCACGTCCTCACAAGTTACATCCCCACTGGACACGCTGCGCCGAAAGCCCAGCTGACCGCCTTTGGGGTGGTGGGTGCCTGGAAACGGTCCTCCTCCTCCGTCTCTGGGATGGAGCTGGCTGGAAAGGGGCTGAGGCTGCAGGTGTGGCAGGAGGTGGTCCAGAGAAGGAAGGCGGTGTCCCGTGTGGTGCACGGCCGACGACAGAGGCGGCGGCGGCTGCGCGTGCAGGCAGAGACCCGGCTGTCAAGCTGGGACCGCCACTGTTCACTTGGTGGGGCTCGGTCCTTGGCCTGCCCTGCCGGGAGGCTCAGCCTGCACGGCTGCCCAGAGAGCGCAGAGCAAATGGAGGGTGCCGCTTAACTGCTCCGGGCACGGCTCGCAGTCTCGTCTTGGCGGCAGCAGGCCCAGGAGGGTCTGGGGTCAGCAGTGCCTCCCCCACCGCAAGGCCACGGGCCTCAGCTGTTCAGGAACGCCAAGCCCTGCCGCCAGCTCCCCACTTGGGAATTCCTTCCCCAGTAGCCCAGGAGGGCTGGGATGGAGGGGAGGAGCCGTTCTCCCCAGGTGTGCTCCAAAAGGAGCACTGCGGCACAGGAGGGCCTCCAGACCTGGGAGCTCCGCACAGCAACCCCCACCATGGCTGTTCGCGCCCTCTGCACGCTGCAGCAGAAAGAAAAGGGACTTTCTCCAGGGGCCTGCCTGCTCGGCAACTCTGTCCCGGGGCTTGGGACAAAGTGGGCGCCTGCGTCACTCACAGCGGAATGGAATCCAAGGTGCAAGGCACTGCAGCAATGTGCTCTACGTAGAGTGTGCGAGGCAGGGAATCAACTTCCTCCAGTCTGCAACATGCAGAATTTAAAATGATGTGCCTTAATGAAAGGGACCCTGCTCCTGGTGGGGACAGCCAACGCGTGCGCTGGCACATCGTGAAACAAAGGACATTCCCAACCCCGCCGCCCTGTCGTCAGGCTCAGAATCCGTGACCTGGCCAGGTAAGATGGAGCCTTCGCTTGGCACGCACGGTGATCTTGACAGGGGCAGATAGCAAGCTCCTGCCTTGGACGTGATGCCTTCAGAACCTCTGGCTTCGTCCGGCCGGCATGAAACCAGGCCAAGCAGAGAACAAAGCCTGTGGATGCTTGGCTTTAGAGTGAAGCGCTGCCTTCCCCTCTCAGTGCCTCCCAGAGGCGCTGGAAGCACGTTCCTCTTATCCCGCGTCCAGCCGTGCAACCTGCTCCTGCGCTCTCCCCGTCCAGGAAGAGACGACGTTGAGCAGAAAGCCCTAGTGCTTGGCCCAGAGCTGCCTCCCCCACCAGGTGCCCTCCAGAGATGCTGGACTGCAACTCCCCAAATCCCCTAACTAGCAAAGGGAGATACAAACCCAGGACTTCAGACACAAGCCCATTCCAGAAGCGTTTCAGGCCACCCGGCGGCCAGGCAGGTGGGTGCAGACAGTCGTGCCCATTTCTGAGCACCGCTCGGTGCTGGCCTTCGCTCACAGACCACTCATCTTCTACTGCGTTTCAGTTTTGAGTATAGCATTTATGCACCCAATTTGCAACTTCCCTTCCGCCTCCCACCCCGTCTTGCCAGGGCCTGCATTCCCACAGCACCTCCTGCTCCCTCCGCAGCATCGCCAGGGCTTCCACTCCGTGGGTTTCAGCGGCCCGGTCGCAATCCGCTCTTCCGCCAGGAGCGGTGGGTGACAGGAGTGGGTGACGGTGCCCAGCAGCTCACGCGGCGGCTTTCTGCCTCATGAACCCCTTCTTTGCTCCCTGGTGAATCTTTGAATCCAGCTTCCCTATATGAAAAAGAAAAGAGTGAGGGAGTGGGGGGTCTCATGAACACTTATTTTTAAAGGTCATTTGCAATGTAAATCAGCTGCAGGCAACAAGGCCTCCCCCCGCTCGGGTGCTGCTGTCACGTCCCATTTCCCTGCTACGGGAACCAGGCGCTCGGCAAAACCCACAACCGCTGCAGCAACACGGAAGCTGCAAGACACCTGGGGGGGGGGACAAAAGGGGGGGGGGAGGGGGGAGACAAGCAACTAAGGCTGCCCCCACTGCCAGGAGGAACACAGCCACCGTATTGGCGGGGGCGGGCAGGTTGGCCAGCGACACTGGGGTGATGGGGAGCAACCGGCCACTGCAAAAGGCGGACTGGGCCGGGGGGCTGGGGTTGGGCAGCCAGCCGGCAGACACGGCTGCCCGAGACAGAAGGCCGGCGCACTAGCAAGGCTGCCTGTTCACACAGCGCACGACTGCAGCATGGGAGCCTGATGGGGCTGGTTCGTGAGCCGGAGCCCCGTCCTGCGGCTGGCCTGCTACCTCAGGTACCCGGCAGAGTGGGCCTTTGCACGCCAGTTGGTGGCCGGACCGGCAGGGTGTGCGGCTGCATTCGCGTCCTGCATGGGGGACTCCCGAGGCCACAGTCTGGCCGCTGCGTGACCAAAATGCTGCTCCGGAGGAGCCCTTGCCCTGCTCCACCGCAGCCCTTCTCACGCTCACTGAACGCAAGCGGCTGTCCACAAGGAAGACTCCGCAGTGGCCTTCACCCAAAACATGTTGCTTTGGACGACTCCCAGCATCCCCATCCTTTGCCACACTGCCTGGGGCTGATGGGAGTTACCCTCCAAACCATCTGGAAGGCACTGGGTCAGGACCGCCTGTTCCACAGGCCATGCATGGCCCAGTTCACGCATTGCCACCCTCCGTGAAGAGAAGTTCCTGCACAGGGCTTGGCGGAGCACAGCACCACTTGGATTGCCAGACGAGTTCGGCCCCCGCTGAAGGATCAGTTGCCACAGGACGCAGCTCTTCGCCCCCAGCAGTGGCAGGACGGTGCGCCCACCTCTGCACTGCAGCCTCACATGCCCGGGCACAGGGACTGCTGCAGGGAACAGCTCCCCCTTTCCCGCCAGGCGCGCATCCCCTGCTCCACAGGGACGGGGCGACACCACCACCATCTCGGCCAGACCCTGCCCTTTCCTCCGAGCCGCTTCCGTTGCTTCGACAGTGCAGGAACGTGCCCGGCCACCTCCTTCCGATGCTATTTATACCCTGAAGCCAACTGCCCTCAGCCCCTGGTCCGCTGCTCCCGATCTGTTGGGGGAGCCTGCTTTCCTTGATCTCTGCACTGCCAGGGCCCCGGTGGACTGGAGACATGCTCATCTGCAACCAGCAGCTGCTCATTAGCGGCATCCTCGCCCCTAGAGATACACACGCTGCTGCACAAGCCAAGCTGATGCTCACATTGCTGGGAGCTCCACATGACTGAGCATGGGACAGAGGAAAAGTGCGAGCGGCACGTCCGTGCGAGACGGAGCCGGAGGAAAGCGGGGAGGGTGCGCAGTCTGACCAACACACTTCAGTTTCCTTCCCAGAAGGGCACCGATTCCAGGCATGAGGTCTTCCCCCTCCCGGGAAGGTACGGGTGACTTACAAAGGATGCTTCCTTACGTTAAGCCAGACTGCCAACGACACATAATGAAAAGGAGGTGATGAATGAGCTATAAATCCCAGGAATCCCAGCCAGCGGAGCCAATGGTCGGGAGCGGTGGGAGCTGTGGCCCAGAACATCCCGCACAGCAGTGGGTCTCTGCACGTGCCGATGGGAACCCTTCCCAACTTTTGTGCAGAAAGCCTGCAGGCGGTCACTGGGCCGCAGTCCCTCCTTGGAGGCTTCTGGCTCAGCAGCACCTGAGCATACTCCGCCGACGTCACCACTATCAGAGTCGCACACCCCGGATAGCACAAAGCCAGAAGCGGGTGCACGTCTCCGTTCCGATGGCGTCAGCATCACGATCCACGTGAAGAGGTGCTTTTGTCCTCTTGCGTACAAAGGAGGAGAAACTGCTTAGGCGAGGAAAGCGCACGTCCGAATCGTGTGCCGTGAGTCACACTCGCGCTCTGTGTCTACACTGGATCCCAAAGCTATCTGACACTCTACAGCCTCTCACTGGCAGGGATCTATGAACAGGTGGGGGGCCCAGGTGGGGCAGAGGGCCCTCAGCAGGGGAAGGAAGGTTCCAGGCAAGGAGGCAGCGCACGAGGCTTTCGCATCCTCTGCAGCGGCAACCCTGCGGATGCAGCCATGTTTCCATGAGGCCAGGATCTTAGGGCTGCTGGAGCCTCCAGGCCCCTCAGACACATCTTGTGATGCCTGCCCAACTCCCTGCTCAGCCCCTCCTGATCTGCAGTTCATTTATGACTTTAAATCACCATCATTGCCGTTGCTGTCAGAAGCTGGCATGCTGCCCTCGGGGACAGCCTACTGCGGTTCAGAGTAATGGCTTTGTCTCGCCGAGCTCGGCCTCGATTTCTGCCTAGCACTTCGATTCCTAGGACAATCTCATTCCTTTGGTGTCTGGGAGATAAGAAAAGTTCGCCAAACTCTGGTTTTCATGTATGTTTTACCCTTAAAAATGACCTCAGTACAAACAAATAAAATGCTTTGCACTGAAAAGAAAAACCCACTAAGATTCAGTGGGCAACGGGGTACATTTCCTTTGGTCTATTTGTGCGCAAACAATTCCCCCAACTGTCAATACAGCAGCCGAACCCAAACATCTAAGCCGTCCTAAGGATCAATATTCTGGATGCAGAAAAGCCTGGTAAACTCCAATTTAAACCCTTCAGGCAGATAAAAATGTTCGGTAAATATCACAGAATGGAAGAACCCTGCTGTGCATCTCAGGCAGTGAAAAGCAGGAATTAATGGATCGCACCTGCACACTGAAGCAAAATCAGAGGAAATATTTTGCCACTGGGCCCCAGGACAACTGCAGAACAAAGGCAGGAGCCTCAGCTATCGGGTTGTATAAAAGGGAAATAAATACTATTCTGACATCTATGATCTATAGCATTCAGAATGTTTCAGATCTTTAATCCCCACGGCCCTCAGAATTCTGATCCTGGGGACTGGGGAACCCTTGAGGACGATGTGGACAGTGGTACAGGGGGTCTGCAAACAGAAGAGGGGGCTGACAGACAACACCCCTCCCCCCACATGGATAGAGAAGCAGCTAAGGGCACAATCCTAGGCATGCATAAAATTGTACCCTTATACTGGAGTCCCATACATGCCAGAAGTGAGTTCGATGGGATACCCTTTCTAAGAAGTCTGTATAGGTTTGCGGTCTTAGGATCCAAGCTGCTGCCATGCACGGGCTTGACTATGTACTCCAGGGCAAGACCTCTTCCCAGTGCGTGTGCCACCTGAGAGTGGCTGGCCGGCAACGGATGCGCCTGCGCAAATTCTTCCAACAACCAGTTTGCAAGAGCTGTGCACAGACTGGGCACTGGAGTTGGTCCCCCCGTCCAGCTTACTGCAGCCCTTACCCATCCCCTCTGCTCTGCTTTTCTTTTGCCACCAATTCTCGTACGTCAGTTGTTACTCAGACACATGAAATCACATTAGGAATGCATTTTGCCATGGGCCTTGCTGTTTATTTCCTCAAATGCACTCCCTTGTAACACGTTCAGTCACAGACTTAGTTCGGAAGAAATGCACACTTGTGCACAAGAGCAGCAGACCCAGCACACAACAGCAGATGCTCCCCAACCCGCCTGGTTCAAGAGGAAGCTGCAGGGTTGGGGTGAGTGGGCAGGTAAAGAAGGGGTGCACCTTTTGCAAATCCCACTCAAGTGCGCAGGAGACGCGTGAAAGCTGACGCACAGACCTTCAGGCTGCCCTTGCACATTCCGCTTGGACTGCACTGACAGATCCTCAAGAGCATGAGGAAGTGGAAGCATTCCTCGTGAGCTCGCAAAGGAGCCTGCCACCAGAGGTTGTGTTAAAACTGCAGGCATGATTCAGGGAATGAGCTCAGTGGCCTGGCCCACGCACAACACTAACGCACAGTATAGCCTATTGAGTCCTGGACTGTGAGGCGTGGCTGTGCAGAGCATGAAGAACCTAGGAGGGGAACCCATGGTTTGTGCTAGGTTGTGGCCTACAGGTCACTAACTGTGGGCTGTCATTGTGCACAAACCTGGACCCATGGGTTGTTTCACGGGGCTACAGAGGTGGCAGGCAAGGGCTAGAAAACCCCCGTCCTTCTACATGCCAGCACTACAGTGCCACAAAAGTATCTGAATGCAGGGCAGGAACAGACAGCAGCAGAGGGAAACCAACCAACCAAGGACTGAGAAAGCCACCACAGTTTATTCAACTGTCTTCACAGGTGAATTGTGGGTTGTTATTCTATCCAATGGATTCACTATGAAGCTGTCTGCACATAATGACAACCCATCATTTAACATGGGTGTGTTTGCTTGCAGTGTGTCGTCCTCTTTCACTCTGTGGCACAAGCCACATTTAGCGCCTTCTTTGCAGAGTGTGACGTGCAAAGCCAGATTTCTGGCTTAAAAGCTAAATAACCCAGCAGCCAACTCAGCAACAAACTGTGTGTGACCTGGACGCTCACATCACCCTGCACAAGGTGGAAAAGGCCGGTCCCCTGCAGGAAGTGTGCCTATGAGTTGTTGTGACATCTTACGTTGTTCAGTTGGTAACTACAAGCAACCCACTAGGAGCACCCACAGTTTATTGTTAAAATGGGAAGATGTGGATTTTACACACAAACTAGGGGTTTTCAGTCCCCATACTCTTGTCACTGACCATTCCTTGGCACCCTGGAATGACCAGGCCCACCCTCAATTTCTGCCAGCCAACTGGCTGTAAGATGCCCCACAATGCTGAGGGAGGCTGCCAGAGGAGAGGAGGGCCATCGGGGCAGTCGGACGGCCTCTGGCCATCTCCTTCCAGCCTGCCAGGCTGTTCCCTCTTCGAGTGGGATGCTGCTGCTTTGGAAAGAGGAAGACTCGGGCAGTGCTTGCACTCACGCTCTGCTGCAGAGAGGCAGGGCGGCGAGGGGCTCAAAACAAGACAAACCAAAGCAGCCCTAAAGCCCGCAAAGAGGAAAAAGACAAGCTGAGCTTATGAGCAGGCCTGGCAGATCGGCATACGGCATCCCTGCACAGGCACTCGGGCCCCACCACAGATCCCAGATCTGTGTCCCCTGCTTTGAAAACCGATTGGGTGGAAAACACCGTTTTAATTCCCCACAGTGCCCTAGAGTGACAGTATATCAAAAGCAGCGTGGAAAATTAAAACGGTGGCTCCCAGCTGCCTGCGCTCATCTGGAGCACTGGAGCTGCCTGCTTGTCCGGCCCATCGGGGCGGGGGGGGGGGCCGCCAGAGGGGATCTGCCAAAGACCCCCGGAAACCTGGAGGCAGCCCTAAACGCGTTCGAGCCGAGCCTTGAAGCAACCAGCTCTGGTCCGAAATGCAGCCATGGCCCGAAAGATGGGGCGAGAGGGACTCACGTGCTCAGACCCGACCTGCGATGGGTGAGAGTCGGGCCAGGTGCGTGGAGGGAGCTGAGCTTGCAGGATGTTCCCAGCGAGCGGAAAGAGCTCTTCTAGCCATCCATGATAAATTGGCTTTGAAGCAAAGCCTTCTTGCCAGGTGCACCTGCTGCCAAATCTGTTCCAGCAGCGAGAAACTCGCTCCTCTGGGAGGCAGCAGCCTGGCACATGCCAGAAAACCCACCCACAGAAAGGAAGGCTGCTAATCCGTGTTTCTGCAGCAAATACTGTGAGAGCGAGTGATAATATCTAAGGCGGTACACAGAAATGAAGGTAAGCACACTGCAGAACATAAATGCAGTTCAGCATTCAGTGGAGAATTGGAAGACTTTTATGTTGCACTACCCAGAATGACAGCAACATGCGGTGACAGGCAGCCATATCGCTGAACTTTTAGCAGGAAGGAAGCATGCACTTTTCTTAGGACCAACTAAAATGACAAACTCATGAGCTGCCTTTTGACATTCACACAATTCTTCCTTGATCTTGATGTTAAATGAACATCCCCCCAGAAGTGAGAAAGTGAAGGGAATGTTCACTTGCTGGCAGGAGGAAACAGTGGAAGGCATGCCTGCAGAATGTTATAAACTGAGTTGGCAACTGTGGCAGCACCTTGCAACCTAGTTCGGTTCATTTGTGTGCCCAGCACAAAAGACCAAGTTTGCATCCCAACAACCTGCAGACAGAGGAATAACACCCAAAGTTCTTCTGAAATACGAAATCAGCAGTTATGCAAATCTCTAACTTGAACTCCAGAATCCGCTGGAAGGTAGAGATCCTAATAAGACGATGATGGGAATTTACTGGCCTGGCTCAGACACAAGGATCTCAGAGCAACACTGCCCACACACGCCAGCCTCACCCCTCCTCTCCCCTCAGTGGTTGGTTAAATCATACTTCCTCTCATGTTTGAAGTGGGAAACTGAAATTTAAATGCTACTTACAAACCAGGATGTTTCCCAAGGTCAGACACCAGAGAGCGGGAGGGGAGGGGAGGGGAGGGGAGGCTTGGGCAGGTGCAAGGCTCATTATCAGTCCAGTAATTGTTTAATTAAACTGAAACCGTCACATTTGAATTTGGTAACTCTTTGAATATGGGTTACTGAAGACCACTTGCAAATAACTCAAAACTCTACAGATCTAATTTCAGGGTGTAGGAACAAACATGCAAAGATATGCAGGGATGCTATCACATGTGATTTGTAATACCGGACTGGGGCTTAGGAGATCTGGGTTCCATTTCCCACTTAGCCAGGAAACTCACTCTCAGCCTAGCCTACCTCACAGAGTTGTCATTGTGAGGATAAAATGGAGGGGAAGGGGGATATTAAAACTGCCTCAAGCTGCTTGAAAGAGGGAAAAAGGCAAGGTATAAATACAATGTTGTTGCCACCACCACAGGTTGGGAAAGTCCGTTTTTGGGAGACTGTAAATTATTGACACACTTTCATTAGCAGTAGAGATCCTGCTGAAGGGAGGCGACTGACAAGGCACCCTTGGTTATGGGCACGGCTTTCTTGTCAGGCCGAGTACAAAGCTGCCTTCTTAGATTTGGAGGCGGTTAACATCCGTCAGCTACACTCGGCACAGAAACGCAACATTCCTCCATTCAATTCTCTGCAATCCCGTCCTCTCAGAGCCAGTGGAAGTGTGAAGTGAGGCGAAAAGGACAGGTGAAGAGATGCAAAGGAAAAAGACCTCGGCCCTCTCTCTAATTTAATATATAAAAACCCAGTTAATCATTTCCTCCCCAATCTAATATGCCTATACCAGACCTAAATTTACCTGATTATGTCAGAAGGAGATTACTATTCCTGCACTATCAGCGAAGGCCTGCAGAAGCCACGTGCCCAGGGGAACCGATGCCGGAGAGCTCTTTGCGTTGGCAGGAAAACACTGGCACGGACAGGGCCGGGCACGTTAAGGCTAGAGGGCTGGGCACAAACAGGATGTGGGTGAGGCTGAAGTCCACAGTGAAGTATGAACCACCTGAATTTCCCACAACACCCCTGGAAGCTGCCTTCCTATCTACTCCAGGATATTGTGGGAAACCCACACGGTGATCTGGAGCTGCCCGTCACAGCCAGGGAAGCCCACTGATCCGGGAAGGGGCCACCAGGGAGGTCTTGGCCAGGGCATCCCACACACTTGGAGGAAAGAAGTACGACTTACAGATTTTGTGTCTGCCTTTGACAGGAAACTTAACTATCATCTCCTGGGCGTTCGAACAGATAAAGACGAATGGAGAAGCTGACTCTTGGCTCAGTTGCGGATACTGGAGAAGGGAAAAAGGGGAAGAAATCAACGAGAACTGCAAATGGGTTAGCGATGCCACGATTTATGAGAAAAACAGCTTACCTGAGCATTCCTGTAATCAGCAGAAATAGTGTGAAGCTGCACAGAGCAATTTGGATTTTAATTGCAGGCTCACCTGTCTCAGAAGTGCTTGAGGGTGGCTTGTGTTTAAATGGAGCCATTTGACATTCAGACAAATCCAGGCAGCCATTTCTTAACACACATAATGACACTATATGCCCACAAACAGAAAAGATGAGGGACACCCGCACCACTGTGGGTCGATAATAGGGGGATTCCATGCCCCTTACGTAAGTGTTCAGCTTTCATCAAAAACAAAATGCAAGCTTAAGTAATAGTAAACTGTAGTTCTTTTCTTGAAGATACAGAGAAAACACTCTAATGAATGAAGAACACCTCCTCCTCCTCCTCCTCCGCATGCCGTGTGGTTGCCAGGCATCATGGTGAGGAGTCCATCTTTAGGGCACTTTTACAGGGTTCACAGAGGCAGCTGCTTCCTTTGGTGCTCTGCTCCTCCCTCCCCACCATGCGCACCGCTCTGAGGTAGCCAGGTGCTGCTCACACACTCAGACGCAACTGTGACATTGTGCAATGCACACGACTCTGCTGCAGGTACAGGCCTAACCTTGGTTTATCACGTATTTATTTAGTTTAAGCTTTTATATACCATTCATTAGTGGCAAGCTCTTTAAAAAAAACAGAAAGCCACATTAATCCCACTCAGCTGATCCACAACGAGGCAAGCGCTGAGCACTCGGCTTGAAAGCCGAAACGCAGGGGAAGGCGAAGGGGGATAATGGCAGGCATCTGTGCTCAGGGCCGTGCAGACAGGCCAAGAGCTCTTCCTGGCGCTACCTGAAGCCGCTTCTCCTCTCACCACATTCACACTGGTGTGGCTTCCCCTGGCAACTATCTGGGCTAGAAGTGTGCACTTTGTCGGTGCTGGCATTCCAGCTGTGGAGTGTGCTGCTGTACGCGCACATTAAGCCCGTGCCTTCGCGGAAAGAACCATCTGCGACTAGGCAACGGGTTCTGCAGGCTGCATGGGACGAGCGGGCTCCAGCCAGCACATACTTCCACCACCATCAATCTTACTGGCCTTTAAGTGCCATGAGCCGCCCTGGCTGGTTCTGCTGGAACACAGGAAACACAGACTTTCCTAGACATGCCTGATCACCCACACACGGCGGAAGCGGCTGAGAAGCTGGCCTCCTCTCCCTGCTCCGCTTCACAGGAGGCTTCGGCTGCCAAGCAGGTGATCTCTCCTCCCCGCCCCACCCCCAGCATGGGAGAAGCTCCAGCTAGAAGAGAGCCAGTCGACTCTGCCTTTCCTGGAATGCCTCTCTTTCAATTACTGGCATGCATGTTTTTGCAGGCTGCTACCAGCTGAATCAGAATATTTAAATGCTCGGTAAACTTGACTGAGCACTGGGATTAGCTGCAAAAGCTGCTATGGAGAAGCGGAGAACCAGCTGGGGCCTCTGCCTCTGCACCCAAAACCGGGAGGGGACCAAGCTGGGAAATGTCGCCCTGGAATGATCCCTCCACAGAAAACAGCTGCATAAACAGCTGACTGAGTGGTGCTTCCCTGGGCTTTTCACAAGAGGCAGCATGCCTCTGGCTACCAAGGGGTAGAGGAACAGACAAGGGAAAGCAATTCACAGGGTACAATCCCCTTCGCTTTAGGGCTAGATGGTTGTGACACCTTCATCGCGTTTTGCAATATATGTGGAACGTGGAAAAGCTTCCCCTGATCTCATCATCTTTTCTGGTTTAGGAGAATGCTCTACTCAGAATGGTGGGTACAATGGATTTGCATCCCGAAGATGTGTCTGCAACTCCAAGTCAGACCATGTTGCGAAACAAAATCCGCTAATCAGCAAGCCAGAGCATGGTTACCCATCCAGCAGAAGCTTGTGATCAACCAGAAATTCCTCCACCCTTCTGTGGCCAATTTTCCTCTGACCCTTGAATATGGGAAGTGGGAGGTGGGGAATCCCTACATCACATGTCATCCACAAAGTCCACACTGCCGTTTCTCAGCTTCAACTGCCTACCTACAAAACTCCTGACCTACTTTGCAAGGCTGTTTAAGGGAGAATTTGACGGGGCACGTGATGCCCTGGAAAGCACCACATAGATGCATATCAACAACAGTGGAGTGTTACTGTGCAAGTTTTCCAGGGGACTAGGAAAAGTCACAAGTGCCATCCGGATGAAAGATCAAGCTGCCCATGCTGCGCTTGATGCTTGATCAGATGTGTTTGGGTAGTCAAGTCTCCCCGCTTGGGGTTGAGAAGCAATGGACAAGGGAGACCTCAGCCCTGCCCACGAGTCAGTTCATTGTCTAGTTGCAACCCCTAAACCACCTTGTACAGGAAATCAGTATTAACCCCCATACTGGGTGGGGCAAGGGCACTGAGGCTGAGACAGTGAGACTGGTCTAACTCCATGGCAGGTCCCTGGCCAAGGCAGGAGTCAAAGCAGGGGCTTCCCTCTGCTTCTCAGCCACGGCGCTGAATCAGCTCTCCTCCAAGAGCCCCATCAGCAGAGCAGCCCCAGCCCGAGCGGAGAACACGTGCTCTGGGCTGAGTTCCCGGCAGAGGCAGCAGCCCAGCCCTAATCTGGGGACACGAAGCACCAGCAATGTGGCTCTGATCCATCACACACAGCACTGTTGGTGAGGTGAACTGATTTGGTGCAGGGGGGAGACAGCAGCAGAGGCAAGCCCCTGTTTGAACTCCCTGCTTCCTGAGCCATTCCTCAGCCTAATCTACCCTTCAAGGCTGCTGTGAGTACAAAGTAGGGGAAGAGAAAAACGTGGCATCTTACCAAGGAGGGGATTCATTATCTCTGATAAGAAAGAATTATAACAAAACAACGAGTAGGTGGCGACAGGACAATACCAACTGCTTCAGTGCTGTGAGAGATGTTAAAGAAAGTTAAAATGGCTACACAGCCGACCTATGAAAGCCCACTAGGATTAGCTGAAACCGATGAGAAGGGAACTGTGCAAAACCGCCACTGCTAATAGCTATAGATTTGGTAATCAAAATGGCTTTGCTAAGAGAAAAAAGCAGCACCAACCGCCTGAAATGCTGAGGTTACAAACCACAGCCCTGCTGTGCTGCTGAATGCAGGCAGCATCTTCCCTGGAGGCTGCTGAGCACGTCTATCTGCTGCTCACAGATAACAGAAACAAGTGGTTTGGCTGCTTTGAAGGGGAGACGCAAACATCTTAGCCAGGCTACTTCATTTCCCTCTCATCTTGAACTTACGTAAGCTCCCTCTCCCTCTCCATGCTGCTCGGCCTGCAGACCAAGCCTGCCGGCAAGCAGGGCCAAGCCGGCTGGCCTCAGGGGGTCCTGAAAGCACAGGACGGGTGCGTCCTCCCGTGTGCCCCCTCAGCAGAAGGCTCGGCAAACCATTCCTGGCCACCACCTACTGAGGTATTCCCAAGCCATCAGCTGGAACAGCTGAAGATTTTAATTTATTTATACCCTACCTTTGAAATTAAAACCTTCCCGAGGCAGTTTACAACAGAAGCCAGGAATACAATAACAAAAGCAGGCAAAGAGAAGCATTATGAACTACAGCGACATAAGAACAAAGAGAAAGTTTTAAAACAGAAATTATGAGCAAGCATAAAGATAAAAGGACTTGGCTATAAAAAGCCACTGGGGCCATAAATGTTTCCAACACTCACTTAAAGGTCGGGAAGGAATAAGCCGGTCAGGCATCCCTCGGGAAGTTCTGCAACTGTGGCGCCACTCCTGAAGGAGTCGTGGCCCTGCTGGTGCAACTGTAATAAGCCCAGCTGAGTTCGGAAACGCACAGGCAGCCTTGCGCGTAGCTGGCCTCAGCTTGTCGAGGGCAGCCTCCGCCATAGTGGGGCTTGCCGGAGGCACTGGAATATGGCTCCCATGCTCCCCAGTCAGCCCGACACATTTAATTGGGGAGTGCTACATGGTGCTTTATATGTTTCTACAAGCAAAATAACAACTTTATTTTCAAAAGCTCATTCATGTTTTTGTTTTGAAATAAATTGAAAGTAAAAGCAGCAAAGGGCAAGCTTAATAATGACAAGATCATAGAGGACATTTTAAAAATCACGAAGGATAATTTTTACCCTGTCATGGTACGTCTGCAGAATGGGCAGAGTGAAACACTCCAAGTGCTCGTTATCTAATGAAGGAACTAAAAGTCTCACCGGTTGGTCCTGTCAGGGGTCCTAACTGCAGCATGCTTATTCCAATAAGCTGATGTTTCACCTTCGAATGCCGCACAAGCTCAGAGCCTGCAGCACTGGTGGGGCGAGGGGCGCTCGGTTACCAGACACTGTTCCCTCCAGGGTGTTTTACTTCTTCTTTGAATAAAAGGATATGTTTTATTCTACACAAGGTCCCACAACAGTATTTCAACTTCCTATCAGTCCATGCTCAGTCCAAATGAAACAGGGTTATACTTTTTTTTAGGACCAGCCAAAAGGTCAAAACATTTCACTAATGCTAAGCAAACAAAGAAAAATAAAGGAAGAGATGAGGAAGGAAGGGGAAAGAGTGAGGGAAGATACTGCTGGGTCCTGTCCCGCAGTCTCTGATGGGAGGCGCTATTCAGACTTCGGCTGCAGTCCTGCGCATGCTTCTTGTGGGGAAAAGTCCACGCAACCCAGCGGGGGCTGCCTCTTGCAAAAGCACGCGTCAGGGCTCACTGCTGATTCAGCCACGCCTGAGGCAACGGGGGATTTCTGCAACAGACTTCCCACCCCGCACCATTCCAGGCACTGCTGTTGGCTGACTTGCTTCTTTGCAAACACGGCCAGCCTCTAAGGGTTCTGGAGAGCCTGAGGGCTTGCTCCCTTCGCCGTCCTGCTCCAGATCAAGGGAGGCAGCCTGGTGTCCCACCCAGCATAGCCAATGGTCAGGGAGGTCTAAGAACTGGAGTCCAAAACTACTAGTCCACAGGTGTAGAGCAGGAGGGAAGCCTGCAGGGGTCCTCAAACTGATCCCAGGGACTGGATCAGATGCATCAGAGGTTTGCATCATTGCAGCTTTTCATGAGCTGGACATAAGGCCACAGGTTGCTTGAGAGGCGAGACACACCTGGCTGCCTTGATCTGACATCTACATTATCCAATTCAAACTGCGTGGTGATCCTCAAGGAGTTGGGCCACCCCAATCTGGCACTGTGACCCAGGGACATGCATTGACACCGTCACCTCTCATCTCAAAAAGCTGCCTTTGGGCTTCTCTGCACAGAATGGCTCACATTCTGTGCCCATCTTCCTCTGCGAGAAGATTAATTTGTTCCGACTATCCTAACGATCTTTGGAGAAAGGGACAATCAATCAACGAAGGGAAATGCTGCTTCTAGTGCCCTTGACTTTGGGACCTCAAAGGAGTGTTCCCTTGTTTCACTACACAGGTTGAAATCATCAAGGGTTGTTGTTTTTTTAAACAGCTGCCTGTTTCTTCTAGGGCAGTATGTATTTGGCAAATAATATGGAGAACAAGCTGTATAAATTGAGAATAAATGTCTCTCTGGGTTAAATGCACATCACCAATTTTGCTTTTAGGAATGCGGTTAATTTTCTTTCGGGGAAGGGCTTACTGTAGAAAAGGGAAATAGCGTGTAAAATTGGAGCTCTCCTGCTCACCAAGGACGCATTACCAATCCTGGTCACACTTTTCAACAGACTCCATACCCAGGAGGTTGACTGACGGCCCATTTGGAGGACAGGTGAAAGCACGGTCGAGTCTAAGCCCGCTCCTGTCATTTCAGACCATCGGCCATGCTGACCAGGGCTGGTACCCGCCTTCGCCAAGAACTGGCCCCACCCACAACTTCCGGCTGAACAGCGCCGTTCAATCTCTCTCTACGGCAGGTGTGCAGACCCTCTGTCCCCAGGGCCACCTCGGGTTCCAGTCCAGGCTCCTCGGGCTCCCCAGATGACCCCTGCACTCCCTGACTGCTGTGCCAAGGGACTAGAATCCAGACTGCCTGAGTCCTGGCCCCAAGCTCTCAGCCACTGGCTTTCTCAAACATTACCCGGGAGAACAATGACAGAGCACAGGGAAGGCTCTACCACCTAAGAGGCAATGTCTGTTTTCCTATTAGCTTAACAGCCCCACCAGGTCCCTAGTGTCGCTGGCCGGCTCTTCCCGTCTCTAGGAGACTGTCCTGTGTTCTCCCAGGGGGATTCCAACAGGCTGCATACCGCACCGCAGCTTCAGCTGCTATACCTTTTATATGACACCATTGAAAACCATTGTGTTCTTCTTAAAAAGCAACTTTTAAAATTTAGATAGCAAACTTGCTGAATTGTGCAATAAACATAACACTTCGGAGGGGGATTCCACTCTTCAGATACACTTTTAGGACAAGAAATAACTTTGGTGCAGGACTGCCCCCAAGCAAGAAATGTCAAGTGGCAGCAGTGGCACCACGACCAACAGAGATAAGGACATGCCATTAAACAGAAGCATTACGAAACAGACGCCAGGGAAAGCAGGGTCCCTGTAAGTGCAAACACAAAAGCTGCTCACTGAACGTTCTGAAGAGAAAAACACGAGCAAGACATGCCAAGGCAAGGCGTGGATTAACTGCTTAGCATTCTGGGGTCACGAAAGATCTTTCCTACGAAAGCGGGCAGTTACCAAACGTGGGCAAGCGTGGCTTGGTGGCAGCTCTCCTGTGTTAGATTCAAAGCCTCTCTTGGTGCCAAGGGACTGCCAAGGATCTCCTGGGTGTTGGTCCAGCCACAGCTGCCTCTGTAATCAACAACCAACTGGTTGCCAGGAGCTTTGCTCAGAAAGGGATTTCTCTGACTCAGGGATGATTTGGTTAAACAATTACGAGTTGCAACAGACACAGGTCTGAGAGAGAGAGAGAGAGATTCAGATCTACACCCAAAGCTGCTTAAAGAAAAGAGATTGAGGGCACGGGGGTTCTTTGGTCTCTACCAGACAAACTAACAATTTCCAGCATGGACTCAAGTGAAGCCTTAGCCGAAATACCTTCTGCAACAAACTTGTCTTTCTAATGAACAGAAGGCTTGCTTCTAATTTAATTTAAACCCTTTCTCTAGTGCTCTTTCCTATCATATTTCTAGAAGGGGCCTGCCTGTCCCTTCTGGAAGTACAGGAGGCAAAGCACACAACCGTACGCAGAAGGTCCCTGCCTCCATTTATTTATTTACAATTAGTTTATTCAAACATTTCCAACCCACCTTGTATCAATATTGGGGGGGGGGGGCTACAATAATAAAAATGTTTCAGCATAAAACCACAAACCCCAAGATCACCCTAAACAACTCAAGCAACCAAATCAAAAATAATCCAGAGTCAGTAAAGTAGCCCAGCCCAATCTGGGGCCCTTTAAATGTGTTGTACCACAACTCCCATCATTCACAACCAAGAACCACTGCCTTAACCTGGCAGTGAAATCAGCCCAGCTTGGGCACCAGCCAGGCCTCTAAGGGAAAGGGATTCCATAACTGGGGCACTCAGCCAACAAAGCCCTCTCTGCTCCCCATGGGATACAGGAAGCAGGTGTATACAGAGACAGGCAGATCCGCACATGCTGAGCACTGAAGGGGTTTAGAGTGTTAAACTTAACTGCTAACACCCTGAACTCAGACGGGAGGTATGTCGGCACAAGACGCAGCTCCTTCAAAACCAGGGTTCAGTCTCACACATGCCTCAGCCACCAAGGCCAGTGGCTCAAGAATTATGAAAACTATAGGCTGAAACACTGGGAAGCCACTGGATCACCTCCCTGACATAACAGATGATGGGAAACACCCCTGCCAGAGACCCCACAAAGTCACTGTCAGAAAGAAGCTCTGTGACAACCACAGGTTCATACAACACTACAACCCAGAGTATGAGTTGCTCTTGAATCATGGTCTGTTCCTTTGTAGGGACAGGAGTTTTAACCAAGAACAAGTCAGTTTACCAGCTGGGGTTCTCCTTGCAGGTTGTTTACCCTTAATAATGGCTTGTTAGCACAGCTGGGTTCACACAGCGAACCACTCAGTTCAACAACAACCAACAGTTCATCCACGCTCTGGGTTGCTGTGTGGTGTGAATTACTTCATCTGCTCGCCGCCAGCAGCCTGGGCGTCTACTGGATCTGGTGTGCGGCTGAGGCGTGTCTGAAGCCTTTCACATTTTCCCCCACTCAAAGCCCTTTTGCGGGGGTGACAATCAGATAAAGTCTGAGGAGGATCACAAGCTGTGGCCATGCCTAGAGAAGGGGGGGGGGGGGGGTGGGGGGGTGCCTCTGTCTGCATCAAGGGTAGCAGAATAACATGCTCCAGCTGCAACCATCACAAAACTTAGTAGCCTCTTGCTTGCTCACCTGCTCTCGAAATTGCTCTTGTGACAAGCAGTCGATCAGGTCCACATGGCCAAGGAGGCATCCAGAGGGATAATCATTGGGAAATTCCAACTCTGTGGCAAGCAGGAGAGAAAATTGTCAGGCAAGCTCGTGCACGTGATCGAGGGCCCTGCCATTCCCCACATGGTCTCAATTAGCCTTCGGCTGCTGTGCGTGTTCTCTCCACAGCGCTTTCAACTGTTAATTTCATGGTTTGGACAAAGTGTACATTTGCTTAGGAAAGCAGTGTTTGGCGTGCCGGGAAGGCATTCCACTCCCACACCCTGGAAGCAACTCTCCGTCAGGCAGCTCGGAGGCCTGTGGATCTGCTGCCTTAACAGGCCTCCAGCCGCTGCGTGAGCAGCGCAGGCTGAGGGGGCACTTCTGCAACGGCAAAAGGTTGCACCCAGTCCTACAATGCCCATGCCGCATGCTCAGAAAGGACCCGCTTGCTGAACTGGAGCAACACGTGTTATGCAATCTTAACGGTGCATTGTATGCAGATCTTGGGACTTAAGGTCCCGCAGAATTTGAAGCATTTAGCTAAAAAGTAATGTGAAAAGAGAAAGAAAGCCGGGAGGCGAACAGGGCCGGAAAGGGGGCAGCCTTCCCAAACTGTGTGTCCAGCAAACATGCTGGACTTCGCCTCCCACCATCCCCAACCAGCATGACTGTTGCTGACTGGAACTGACAGGGGCTGCCATCCAAAACATCGAGGGCACCAGTTGTGTTGGGGAAGGCTGAAAAAGGCAATGGGAAAGTCCTCCATACTCAAACATTTTTTTCACTCCTACAGGAACTAAATGCTTTAACTACACATCCCTGTAGTGCTCCTTATCTTCTTCTTTCCCTTCCTGCCTAGCCTGGTCTATTCCGCCTCCATGTCTCACCCCTTCCTCTACTGTTTCCCCTAAACTGATCCCTGTATCTGTTTTTAAACTGTCTACTCCTTGGAGGAGGGATCTGCAAAACAGATTCTTTGCAGCAAACAAAATGAACGTTCATTGCAAATGCAAAGTGCATAGACAGTGTTGTAATAGCACAATATGATAATATCACACACACTTTCTGCAACATGCCCAGTTTGCATCAGATTCCCTGCTGTGAGGGATCTGCAAATCACAGCCCATACCGAAGTGAATCGCTATTTGTCAGTGAGCTTGGGCAGCTTCAGTGCCATTTCCCAAGCAAACAAAACCAATGTGCATTTAAAATGTGGATCTGTCAACCCAAAGAATGCCAAATGACTTCTCCTTCCCTGGCTTAATAAGAGTTCCTTACATTACAACCCCGGAGGCTGCTGCAGCTTCCAAGAAAGTGCCATTGGCTGGAACCTAATCTGACACGTGACCTTTAGATCTGAATGCTGGTAAGGGCACACATTACCGCCAGACTCAGGAATGATGCAGATTGGCCCTCACACCGAGCCATGCACCAAGCTGAAGAGGAAGGGGTGGCTGCCCCGGTGCTGTTCTGACATCACACTGTCTGTCTTTTCTCCAGTGGTTAAATTCCATGCCCCCCAGCATAGTGTGGGAACTAAGTCTCCAAGGGCAGGGCAGGGCAGGGAAGGGGAAAAGAAGGAGCAAATATACAAGAAGTGGAAGGAGAGCAGAGTCATGCGGGAAGGATGGAGGGGCTGCAAGAATGAGGGAGACTGAGAGAATGGCATTTTCATTTCAAACAAGGGGGCTGAGCCTCTTTCAGCCAGGGGGCTGTATTTCATTTACGGCAAGCATTCCACCTGACACCCTGGAGAGTTGCTGCCAACCAGAGCAGACAGCATAAGGCTAGATGGACAAACTGTTTGTTCTGGTATAAGGCAGCTTCCTTTGTTCCAAAGTATAGTGTAAATAAGCACAGAGGGAGGAAGAGAGAGCTTATCCGCTCTGAATCCTGACCAAGAGGAAACCTGGACTTGCATTTCATCCTAATTTCCTTGCATGCTATTCCTAACAAAGCTTATTACCGGGTGCAAACGAACACAGACTGACACAGCTAGCACAGAGAGGCTTCTCTTCCAAGTGGCGTTTAATTCGTCAATTTAACAGCCAAGCAGAGAGAGCGAGCCCTGGATGGTTATGTCCATGTGGACGGGAGGAAGCAGAGGGGGGCGGAGAAAAGTTCGATGCAGGAGCCACCAACACACAGTAACTGTTTCCAGATCCTGCTCGCTTTACGGCATCTCCCCACCAAGCCTCCAAGCTCCTCTTTGTTTGGCCTGCTAGCCCCCAAGCAGAAACGCTCCGGCTCAGGAGCAGAAGTCCTCACTCCCAAAGGTTTGAGAGGCCTCACCCTTCTGCAGCAGGACTCTGTAGGTAGCCTCCAGCTCACAGATTTCCTGGGGGGACGGCTTCTTTGCTGTCGCTGCTATCCACAGTCGACCCCTGTGTGACGTGTACCAAGTCCTGCCTTCCACCCTGGAGCGGGGAGAAAGGGAGCGACGGGGAGGATCAGAAACAGACCCAGCCTCCAGCAGGCATGGCGCTCCATGGCAGCATCGCTGCTCAGAGAATACGACAATTGCTGCTGCCACATCCAGGCTGCGCACCCTCCATCCAGACACTCCATCCAGAGGAGGTGATGACTGAAGTGCAGAGGCTGCAAGCGAACAGCCCATGAAAGGGCCTTGGAAATTATATGGCTGGCTCAAGAATCATGAACTTTGAAGGACCAGAGTGAGGCTTATACATGTTCCAACTATTTCAATGCCAGCCACTGTCAAAGTTCTTCCAGCCATCAACTAAGATGTCAGAAAAAACGTTTGTTTTTATAAGGAAGCTTATTTTCTCTGAACCACTCCCCCTTCTTGAATCTTGTTGTTCGGAGGTCAAAAGGCCTCGGGTAAAGACAACCTACTGCCAGCTGCGGCATCAGCCATCGGCAAGGGAGGGTAGATGCGGCAGCCTGAGAGTGGCAATCCCTGCAGTTCCAAAGGGGCTACACTTGTCAGGGTCGGGTTTCCTGGGGGGGACAGAGAGAGAGAGACAAATGGAGCATCGGCCAGGGCTTGATCAGTAAAACAGAGAGAGACCACAGCCCTCCTCAAAGTCTCAAAAGCACAGAACCCAAACACAGTCGGCGAGGGAGGAGGCATGGTGCCTGTACCCATTAGTCGCATTTGCATGTTGCCCCTTCTCTGAAGAGCTCGGCCCCCCGCAACACAGTGCATTCCAAACATTTTGCGCTTCGGCTCCTGCCATCCCCTGCCAGCATGGCCGAAGGGGGCCATATCCGGCTTTGGTCCATCGGCTTCAGTTGAAAAGCGGTGCCTCGCCCAGGGTCGTCCAGCGTGCTCCATGGGTGAGAGCAATTTCTTATAAGGCCTTTCTGGTCCAGCAACACTTCTGTCCCACAAAAGGTGCTCGACCCCCACCAATTAAGTGCCATCACAAGAGAACGTGAACACTCAGTCAGGGGGGTGCAAGAGCAGACACCTGGCCCTTTGAGACAAGCTGCCCCAACCCAGCACCTTCCCAAACTGTTTGCTTACAATGCCCATCATGCCCAGTCAGGTTGGGGATGACGGAACTTGTAGTCAAACACACTTCTAGTTACTAGGCTGATGTGACGATAGGTAGCTGTTTTATTCAAAATTTCTTTCCTTTCCAGCAAGAGTAACAGAGGAATATGGCACCACCTAGTGCATGGAATGGGAGATGAATTGCGGCCAACAAGCATGCATCAACATTAAAATACTGGAAGTCAGTCATTTAAAAAAAACGTACCAGTGGTCTAATCAGGGTTCCCAATGACAGCCTGCTGCTTACCGTTTGATCCCTTTGACTAGCAAAGAGGCCCAAGGCTGATGCATGCTCAGGCACCAGCCATCATCGGAGATCTCTTGTATTTCTCGGTCCTGAATCCGTAAGCGGCTCCTTTCCGTGTCTGTCTCACTCCCAGTCTCTACAGTGCACCCTGTTTTCCTGCGTGGGAGCAAACCAGTCTGGTCCACCCACTTCAAAATCCAAAGGAAAGAAAAAACACATCACATAAGGTTAAAAATTCTCCATTTAAGCATGAGCTTTAGCTGTGACTTGGTGCTGCTTAGGGGCTCTGTAGGGAGCGGGCTTCAGGTGGTCATGCTGCTCATCACACTCACTCCATCAGACAGACAGAGGAAAAACTGATGTTGGAGCAGCCTAAGGACTGCCTAGACCACGCAGGAAGTAGACCAGCTGGCAAAGGGAGGGCGATTACATCTGCCTCCGACAGACCCCTCTGGCTATTCCCTTTGGCTACAATGGAAAGCAATGTACTGGTACAACAGGCTGAGCCCCAAGGGAAAAGCTAACATACTAGGATCCAACAAACTAACTCAATCTGAGCCACACAAATGATTTTTTTTTAGTGCTGATGCCCACCTAGATGCACCAGCGATATTCTTACTGTAGTGTAAAAAAAAAGCCTAAAAGCTATTAACAGAATCTACTCCTGAAAGGCTAAATCCCCATCATGTGCAACTGTGAATCATTTATTCATGCTTCTTTTAAAATATGTTACATATAAAATAAGGCTTGAACAAGCTGCAGCGCTTGGCCTAATGTTGTGCAGGTGACAGATCAAGGGGTTAAGATGATCACTCTCAACCCCACAACGTTCTCCCTCCTCTTGAGAGGAAGGAGGAAGCAGTTGTGATGGTGATGATTCTCTTGAGGGAGAAAAAGAGACAGGCGGCTGCTCTGGCACAGCGGAATGGCAGCTTGCAGCTCAAGAAGTGACATCTGCCCTGAATGGAACAAAGGTTGCCCATCCTGTCACAGCGGCACAGGAGGCTCCCAGACAGTTCAATCCACTAACCAGAAACCAAACGGAAGTAGTCTTTAAGTTGCAGGTACATCTAGTGCTGAGAAAACAAACACACTGCTTTGGCTTGCATTGTAGGGTTCTTGTTACTGCTTTAGTTTAAAATGTTGTCACTACTGTAATTTGACAATGATTTTCATTTCCTTGCATTTTAATATACATATATTGTTGTATAACACTTTAGGGACCTGTAGCAGAAAAAAAGGATCATAGGAGTAAACATTAATGCTTCTTGGGAGCCCTGGATGTGAACAAGCAGAGCTGGAAGGAAGGAGAAACAGATGGAGAAATTCTTAAGATGTGCACGCAAGAGATCAGAGGGCTACTAGCATAGGAAGCATAGACAAGTAAGAGCTGGATCTGAACTCTTGTGACAGGATAAGGATGAAGGGCCTGGTGGTAGGTGCAGTTTGCCCAGAGAGTGAATCCAGAACATTTTGCATTCAAGGGTGTCCTCTACCACTTAGCCCTTCTCCATTAATTCCCTCTGTCAGGTCTAGACTGTAATTTAGGATAACTCCAAAAGGAAACATGACTGCTCTTTAATTTTAAGGATGCCCATGTGAAGCCAGGAGGGTAAGCAGAAGCAGAAATTGAACGGCAGACAATTCAAACTTCACAGGAGCAGAGAGAAAGATGCATTTCTGGGAGTGGGGAAGTGTCCACTTTATAGGAGGGGGTGGACTGGGAAACACTGATGACTCTTCCCATCTCTAAAGCTATGCTCTGTAGAAGAGGAAAAGGCAGCATCAGCCTGAGAGCAAAGATGGGCAACTTGTGGTCCTCCTGCGGATGCTGCGGGAGTGTCACTCCAGGAAGCTTTCGCGAGTGCAGCCACTGCTGCAGTGCCCCATTTCGTGAAAGCAGGAGCACCACAAACCATTCCCCCTCCCTGCCTTCTGTCAAGAGGAAAAAATGGAGCACTGACCACCGGGGCTGGCTGGAGGAGGTTTGGATTCACAAGGACTGCAGATTCTTCAGGTTTCCCACCAGGGCTCTGCTTCGGCTTGGTCAAGGTCCCACTGTGAATAGCTTCAACTGTTTCATCCAATCTGCAAGGACAACCAGCCAGGTTTAGATCGTTCCCTACAAACAGCCTCCTTGCCCACACATTTGGCTGGAAAGGGCTGTGCAAGCGCCCCTCACCTAGTCTGCTGCCCAGTTCGAAACTTCACTGACTGGGAAGAAGTGTCCTTTCCCGAACATTCAGAGATGTGATCGCTACAGATATATTGGCTCTGTAAGGCAGCATTCTCAAGAATAAATGGATTTATTTTCAGGATTTTTAGCCTGCCTTTCCAACTCCAATGTAGAGCATCCAAGGCAGCATATAGTACTGGTGGGGAGCTGGGACAAATGGAAACTACCAAGATCATGCAGACTCAGTGAAGGCAGACAACAGCAGAGTCGATCACAAGAAAAAGACTAGTCATATCGAGGCAAATCAAATGCTGCTGCAACAGAAAGGTCTTTAACTGGCAGGGGGAGTCTCAGCAATGGGGGAAGAGCAATTTATTGAGGTAATCAATTGCACCATCCAAGTGCTGCCAGGGAAGCTCCTTCTTTCTAACGCCCAGCCCTGCCTCAGCCACGGGTGGGACACACAGAAGTGCCTCTCTTGAGGAGAAGGGAGGAGGATAGGAAGGAGGAATGCCTGTGAATCGCACACTCCCCATTTCTCTCTCTCCCTCCCCGCAATCCCTGATTTCAGCATTTCTGTACTAGCAGTGGGGAAGAGAGCGCCCCCTGCACACCAAATTGTGGCGCTCACTTCCCTGGTATGCCTGCCTTTCCCAGAGGAGGAGCTTCAGGAAGAAGCCTCAGCTGAGACTCAGCAGGCCGTATGGGGAGACCTAGGGGAGGCATCTGCGCCATGAGCCAGAGGCTCCCCGACACTCATCTACACAAACACCTGAAAATGGGTACCATTGAAGAACAGCCAAGAGAACGTGAGAGGGAAGCGGCTAGTAGTGTTATTTATTCCATGCCTACCACGCTTTTCACCCAGGGAGCTATAAGGCGGCTGCACTGAACTCCCCCTGGCTTTGCAGAAAAGCAGCCAGGAAGAGCAGAACATACCACAGAGGTGCTGCGCTTCGTTCAGCCCGAGGGCAAACGGACTATGCAGAGAGGCAAAGTGTGCTTCTCTAGCAGAGTTCTTAGCAGTCTAATGCCCATCTTCAACATTTTGCACAGAAGCCTATGGTGCTAATGGAACGCATTTGAGAGGAGGCTGCATGCTGGTGCCGCTGCGGCGCTGGGCAAAATCCCTACAGCAGAGTGACTCAGACTGTGCTCTGCTTCACTCCAGATGGCTACACTCTTCCCTGGGAGCAAAGGCCAAGGAAGTTCCACCTTGGAAGCCACACTGGTTCGTGTCCTAAATGCACGCGACTCTTATTTACCCTGCGTGTGCAGCTGAGTGTGATGTTACAGAGCAGAGAGTGAGATGTCCGTAAGCAGAAAGAATACATCGGATACTGGGGCGGGGGGGGGGGGGGCACCTGAGAATACGGATCCTTCGCTACCCAGAAAGGAGCAGCCGCTTGTCCACATGCTGCTCGGCCAGGCCCCGCCACACCCGGGTGCTCACCTGCGGTGGTATCTGTCCATGCTGCCCTGCTCCTCCAGGATCTGTCGCCCTGCAAAGTCGATGGTGATGCTCCTGGAGAGCCGCGACGCGTGCCTCAGCTCACGCAGCTCCTTCTCCCTCTTCTCCAGCACGTCCCTCTCCTGCTTTGAGAGCCACTGGTTGGAGTCGGTGGCGAAGTAGTCCGACTCATCATCGATCACCTGGGTGCGGCGCACACTGGCAAGCAAAGCAAAAGACGGGCACTGAAGGACCCTGGCGGGCAGCATGTACAAGCAGCTGCCTCATCCCAGGCTGGACAAGGCTGTCAGCCCAGCGCTATTTACTCTGACTTGCAAGGGCTCCCCAGGCTAGGTCTTTCTCGTCACTTGCTACCCGACTCTTCTTACTGGGATTGTCTCTTGCAAAACTTGTCCTCTACCAGTGAGCTCCAGCACCGCCCCTAACAGGCCGCAATGCCTACTGCAAGTATGGGGGGCGGGGGGGATTAAGCACAGGTTTGGCTCAGGAGGCCTCCCAGGCTTTTCATATGAAGCTGCCACTGGGAGCTCAGCAAACCGGCCTTTCCAGCGTACTCTGTCTTGCACAGGAATGCTCCTCGAAGTGCAGCATCGGAAGCCCTATTTTGGGCAGCCAATAGTCTCCACTCACCACCTTCCTCAATAAAATTAATGGCAGATGCAGTGACTTTCACATATAATCAGTATTTGTCTTTTTAAATGGGTTATGAACAGGATGAAGGCTTGCTTTCACATACTGGCAATTACCTAGAGCGTAAAAAAGAAACTAACGTATCACAGCCTCATACATGCCGGGGATAGAGGCAAGCTACACCAATGCTATTTCCACTCGCTCAAATCGGGTAGGCAAAAACTTCTAAAAAAGCATCTCTTTGCTTTAGTTAACCTGCTTGAAGGCAATTCTAATCAAGACCGATTCTCACTGTCAGCAACTGGCCCCCTAGGTATCTTCACATTAAGGCTCTTAAGAAAAGTCCCCCAAGTTGTCCATCAAATGCAACCTGCTAAGTCGAAACTGAAGCACACACGATTTGGCACAGAGTTTAAAGAGAACACTTAAGAAAAGTGGCCAGGGACAGCAACGGCAAGCCGTAATGTGGGAAATTAGCACTGACGGTCTAGTGGAAAGCTTTCAGCTTGTGCAGAGGTGGGCACCTGCAGGAGGCCTGGGGGCAATTTTTGCGTGCAGACAACCCCATGGGCTGCACTAGGTAAAGGAGCATTAATTAAATTTAAAATTGCTGGAATGTTCAACAACATCCAGCAATGCTAAAAGGGTTAAATTTAGTTTGTTTGGAAGCTTAACTTGTCCCTTTTAGCAGTCCATGTATGCTATGGAGCACCAGCTCTAACAAAGGTAGCTGGCAAATTTGACTCTGTCTGTGCTTTGTAGCTGCCATGAAGTATCATTTGCTTTGCATAGACAAATTAACTGGTGGGTGCAGCAGGGGCCATAAGCAGGGCATGCACTGCCCCCGCTGCGCTTGTGGTCCAGCCTGCTCATCTGGGAGGGAGGGAGGGAGGATGGATGGATGCTTAGCCCCAAGCCTCCGCTGAACCCACATATGAGTCTGCCTCACTCCATCACATACCTTGTCTTGTCATATTCCAGCAGTTTGTTTTTGTGTTTCACCGCTGCCTCCAGCCCTGCCTTGAGTCGAGCCTCTTGACGGGGCAGCAGGTCCTTGCCACTCATATCCAGTTTGCCGCTGTTCTCCGTGCCTGAAATCCAGAAAACCTCGTGGAACTCTATGCACTCATTCACGGGCCTGCCCCTGGCTGAACTGCATGGCTCTAGCAAGCGCAACGGACTCTCGGGGACTGGTGCACGGCCACTGGCCCAATTCAGCTGGAACCCACTAGACCAGAGTCCTGCAGAAGCAGGCTGCACGTGCCGGTGCTGTGTGGACCGATGGGACGCTGCAGATGATGGTGCCTGCCCCTCCTCCCAGCCAAACCCTCCCATTCATATCTGCACACGCCTCCTATCTGGAGGCTGCAAGGGAATAATACCATGTCAAAAAAAGACACTGGTTTCTCTGGCCTGCAGAAGACCGTTTTGTTCTTTGAATAATCATTGTTTGGCAAGAACATAATGAGCCAATAGCAGGTACTATGTCCTTTTTGACATCAACCACTCACAAATATTGTCAATCCAGACAAGACGGAGGTCCTGTTGGTGGGTGGTTCAGGCCTCGGGATGGGGGACTTGGGCTCTGTCCTAAATGGGGTTGCACTCCCTCTGAGGGACAGGGTTCGCAGCTTAGGAGTGCTCCTCGACCCTGAGCTGTCTCTAGAAGCTCAGGTGACAGTGGTGGCAAGGAGCACTTTCCTTCAGCTTCGGCTGATCCATCAGCTGTGTCCCTTGCTGGAGAACGACTGCCTGGCGACAGTGACATATGCGTTGGTAACTTCCCGATTAGATTTCTGTAATGCACTCTACGTGGGGCTACCCTTGAAGACGGTCCAGATACTTCAGTTGGTGCAGAATAGAGCTGCCAGGCTGCTGAAGGGGACTGGGCATTGTTCTCATCAACCCAGTTCTCCGTCAGCTCCACTGGCTCCCGATTGAAGTCCGGGCCCAATTCAAGGTGTTGGTTATGACCTATAAAGTTCTCAACGGCTTGGGACCTGGGTATCTAAAGGAACGCTTGCATCCATATATGCCCTCCCACCCCTTGAGATCAGCAACAGATGCCCTTCTCCAGGAACCCTCTGTGAATGATATTAGGAGGGTGAGTACCCGGAGGAGGGCCTTCTCTGCGGTGGCGCCCCATCTATGGAATGCACTCCCCAGAGAGGTCCGCCTGGTGCCGTCGCTATCTGTTTTTCGGTGCCAGGCTAAGACCTTTTTATTTGAAACTTATTTTAATTGTAATTTTATTGGTATTTATAGGATTTTAAATCTTTTAAGCCGAGATGCACCGGGTTTTAATATTTTTGTTGTATAATTGTTATATTTGTATATTTTGTTTTTGTTGTGAGCTGCCCCGAGGCTTTGTTGCGATGGGAGCGGCATAAAAATGTTTTAAATAAATATTACAAAGCTGAATGCAATGGATGAGGCTACCAATCTATATTTAGCATTACTGTCTGATTTTGGGGGGGGGAGTCCCTCTTGAAGTTCCATAATGGCCAATCAGTAACAATGAACTGAACCTACATGGGTTTCTTTTTCTAAATCACTGCCCTAAATTTATTACTGCTGTCCTGCAGGAGTTCCAATCTACATCTGGCACCATCCACCATGTCCAGGACTCTCTCGACATTTCAAAGGGGCCCATGGACAAAGCAGTCACAGAAAAGCAGAGAAGCAATGGCAGATGCCCAGGAGCACCGGAAGTGCCACGTTTAACCGATCCAGAATGATCAAGCATGGGGCAGAACCAGAAGTGTGCAGAGAGGGTAGTGACCATCCAAAAAGGAAGACACAACCCATGCTTAGCAGGGGGAGAATTTCCTTTGGATGTCTAACTCCAACGTGAGTCATGCAACAAGGTCCTGCATGCACATCTCCTCCAATAATCTACTAACCTGCCAGGAGCTTCTTCAGCAGCTTCTGGCTCTTGTTGGAATCGCGTTGCAAGACATCTTGCTCTTCTTTCGTGCATACCTAAAGGAGAATAGAGAAATGTGTGTTCTGGATCCATTTCAATCGGGGATGTAAGCCTGCTTTTGCCACAAAATCAGTGTGGGATGACCTGTGCTGGGTGGGGCAGAGTGTAACCCTGTTAAATCTTCTGGACTTCTGTACTGGGATACCTGGGAGAGCCTGTAACGGAGTCAGCATGAGCTCCTCCCAGCGCCTCGCAGAGACCTCCGTGCAGCATTACAAGCAATGGGCATTCATGAGAACTGCTGTTAGCAGCCTGCAGGGGAGCAAGGGGCTTCAGCTGCCACCTGCTTGAACTCCCTACTTCATTCTTGAGAGACCGATTTTTATGCATCTTTCCACTGATGTTAATTAGGCATGGGGGTGGGGTTCTCTTGCCCGCTCTCCTTTTTCCCCACTGGCAGCTCTTCACAGCTTCAGCTTGAATGCATGGAGCCATGTGTGAAACCTGAGCTTGCTTGTTTGCCCTCTGGAACTCCACTTGGGATGCGGTGCAAGCCGGAGCTACCTCTCGCACCCCAGAGTGACATCTACTGCACTAGGAAGCCCTGGGACTGGTGCATGAGCTTTTGCTTTGGCTATTTACTGAGAACCTGCATCCCTATTTCATCTAGCTACTTGGCTAGTTATCCAGGGGAAGATCTCACATTTTTATTTATTTATTAAAACATTTTTAGGGTTTGATGGATGCAGTCCAGATTTGATGTCCATTTGATGGATGCAGTCAAGCCTGTTATTGTTTATGGAGTATTACTGCCCCTTTTTGGTTGAAGTTTAAATACACTTTTGGTGCATGTAAGTAGGGAAAGCTTCAATAAAATTCATTCAGGAGCCTTTTGCCTACAGTGCCACTAATGGAATCAAGGCAGCATGGAGCACTTGATGCCCCCCTTCCTCCCGACCCATTAACAACATCATTACCAGTTAACAGAAGCACTGGGAATAAGGACCTCTATTTTTCATGAGAACATGTTGTTAGTGCCACAGAATGAGCACTCTGAGGTTTGGCCTCAGGCAAAGCTCTTTTTTGTGAAAGAGATTCTTTCCTGCATGTTTCTCAATGTTAAATGAGATTTTAAGTTATCAAAAATCTTCCTGAACTACCACTTTCCACCCAAACTTTGTTCTTTTATTATGCACACACGAAGCATATTAGCACTTCGGTAGTCAATACAGTGGCAGATTTCACCACCTTAAAAAAACTCAGTGCTGCTAGCGCACAAATCCTGACTGCCCTTTTCAGCAAACCAACAGAAGGTGCCTGCGCTCTCCCCTTGCGCTTTAAGCTCTCGCTGTTGTTCTAATTTGCACAACCTGATGAACATTCGAGAAAAGCAGAAGCCTGGCTATAGATGCCTTCTCATAACATAAAGGCAGACATGTACCATAATAACTACATCTCTGTGAGCGAGGACAAGTTTAGAGTAATTTTTCCAGAAGGAAGTCTGCATACTGGACTCTGTTAAAATGAGAAGCAGCTTCCTGCTTGGGGAGAAATTTTGTTCTGAAAAATTGGACTCCAAAAGGGACATAAGTGTTTAAAAAATTGTTTTACAGCTTGAGTTTTTTGCTTTGGTTTATTTTATGCTATGCTGTTTTTTGCCCCTTGCTGTCAATTTTAGTCTGTGTTAAATTTACTCTGTTTCATGGTGACATCGTGTTTTTAATTTAGCTTACTTGGACCCTGTCCAGAGAACTTGACCTGTTGGGCAGTGAAGATAATTGATAAGTAGAATAGAACATCTGGCCACTTTTCCTGGAGAAGAAAGCAAGCACTGGGCAAATCCAGCCCTGTGCAGGGCCAGTTCCTGCTAAGCAGGCAGCCCATAGGGAAAACAGCATGCAAGAGACGGTGACATACCAGAGTCTCGCAGAAGAGGCAAGGCCCAGAGCCCTCCTGCTCGCAGACGATGCGCCCACATGTCAAACAGTTGTTGATGAGCTTGTGTTTCTGGGCCAAGCACTCGCAAGGGTGGCGCCCTGGCAGCATGACCGCCAGTTTGTCTTGGCCTTCCTTTGCGTACAAGTTGACATACTTTGCCTTCTTCTTGGAGGAGCAACTGCTGCTGCCGCTTATCTCCTGAGCCTAAATGTATGTCCAGACAGAGTTGGATTAGAGAGGAAAGGGGAGCAGAGAAATATCCTGGAATTCATTGCCTGTTTTTGCAGCTTGTTCTGGCTGATGTAATGATTAAGGAAGGTTGCGTCATGGCAGAACGACCCCTGCCCCCAAGCAAACCTTTATCTTATTGCAGGAACCATTTGGTACTCAGACTTTCTTATGCCTCAAATAAAATGATGCCGCACACGCCACCTGCTTTCACCTGATTGATGTGCTTTGTCCTCCACTGGGTCTCAGCAACTTCCCACACCAGAACCAACCGAGCAACACACACTCAGCTCTTAGATGTCCTAGCGACCCCCTCAGCGTGCTGTGACTGAGTGACTGTACTGCAATCTGATGTCCACAGAAAAGCGCAGATCATCCTTATATCACTCCCCGTGTACTTGTCTGCCTTTCTCTTGCAGGCCAAACCACAAGGGAGCAGCCTTCCTGCTTTTGCCATTTTAAAGTAAACCAGGGACTTTTTATGTAGTAACAGAGAACGCCCTTCAGACCTCACTCTCAGCCATCACAGCCAACGTTCAAGAATTGCGGTTGAAAACACCTGGAGGGTACCAGGCTGGGAAAGACTGCATTATAGGGAAGAGAGAGTCTTCTCCACAGGGCAACTACTTCCGACATGGAAGGCTATTTTCTAATTTGTTCCATGGACCCCCATAATTCCTGCTAGAGTGTGTTTGGTGGGGCAGGGGGTAAAGACACAGGAGAAGCCTGCAGAAGAGAAAAACGTCTTTTACAGCGTCAGCTGGAATGGAGCTCTTAGCAGCTCTTGTTTGGTCTGAGCTTGGTGCAAATCTGGGAGCTCAGGGCAGCCCCTCCCCATGCAGAGGTGAAAAGAAGTGGCTGTGCCTATGGGCCCCAGAGGGAGGCACCATCCCAAGAACTTTACTTTTCCAGCATTTTGATTCTTCTGCTGCTTCGGTTGCCTTTTCTAATTTAGCTTTCCTGTTTATTAGCCTTTTGTCAGTTTTGATATTCCTATTTTAATCATTCTTGGCTGCATGTTACACTGATTTTATGGTTTTGTTAACTGGGTGCGACTCCAGTTTGGATGGCAAAAGCAGGATATTACATAACCCCCTGCCCACAGTCTTCCCTCACCCATCAACATGACTGCTTTAGGGCCACCACAAGACTGGAAAGGGTCATGCAGTCTGTATCATGAGATTCGCATGAACAGACCAAAGAATTGTGACAGCCAAACTCATTCCACCAAGCATGAAATGCCGCTTTCTACAGTGATTGAGATTTCAGCTGTATGGAGCTTTTGTCTCCATGAGACTTTGAAAAGACTGCAGGCATCTAGTTGGGAGGAAGACGTGCCCATGATCAAAGTGCTGGGCATGCCAGCATTTCATGCCCAGGCAGCCCTGAGAGTTCTCGAGTGTGCGTGCTGCCTGCAGGCGCAGGAAAGGAAAGCCGCACTCATGACCTATTCAGTATCAGGCACCGAACTGAGTGCCTCGATGCAGTTCCAGCGAGACCCCCTGCCCTCCTGCTGCCAATAGCCACTGCCGAGGCGCCCAAGAGGGAAACAAGCGGCCTCACCACTGTGCTTGCATCATTCTCCCATGAAACTGCCGAAGGACAGCCTGTCATACAGACGTGAACAGCTTTAGAGGACAGAGTGAAGACCAGCCTGGCACCTCCAGAGGAGCTGACTGTAACTCCCATCATTTCCAGACCTGCTGGCTGGGGATAACAGGAACTGTAGGACCCCAGACTGGGGACAGTTGAAACCTGTCTGAAACAGAAAGGCTTGGAAGCTGCACAGTCCTATTGGTAAAGCAAGTTGAACAGGTCAGGGAAGGCCTAAGGGCAGAGAACTATTTTGGAGAGGGCACGGACAACAGGTGGCTGGATAAAGCCAATTTAACTGGGAATCTTGACTGAAAGTGAATCATACTCATTACCATTTAGATACATCATATCCCTGCTTAGTACAATGAAGCTCATAATCCTTTGCAAGCTGCCTTGCAAGGCTTTGCCCTAAAATGAGTGAGGGAATAAATGAGTAGAGTGATCCTATGGGCATGAGACAGCACCTAGAGGGCAAGGGACTTTCTGGATTCCCAAATCTGGGGTCAGGAAAGAGTCCTGACCTTGGACTGTGAGGTCTGCGTTTTGATCCCCCTCCCCACCCTTGCAGCTGGTAGGGAAAGAACGTTGCTGGCTGTTTCTCCGAGGTTGTAAGAACAGCCTCAGGGAATGAGCTTAGGAGGCAGGGAGAGGCCCAGTGCTGCAAGAAGTGACATTCTGGCAGCACCGAAGCCACCTTCCTTCGTCCTCCAAACATGGCAGTGAGGTAGCCGCATCAGCTCATCCCGCCCCACGCATGACACCAGTAAGCCACTGAGTTCAGCTGGTTGCAGGCACCCCCCATGGATTGCCTCCAAATAGTATCAAAAGCTCAACAGGTGAAAATCAGTAACCTCACTGCTTCCCATGGCTGATAAGTGTAACGTAAAAATATTCCATGAATGACATTGCTATGTTGAAAGTGATGTTTCCACCTTCCTGTAAAGGCACCACAAAGTAATCATGTCCCAGTGGCGGACAATGAATGCACCCACCTTGGCTAAATCAAGTGGTGTTTTTACTTCTTCTACAGGCTGTTCATTTTCCATATAAACCGGTGCTTCCAGTTTGTTTCTTCCTTTACGCCTTCCCTTCTTGGCTTGGTCTCCTGACCGAGGAGCCTCTAAAATATCTATGTGTAGAACAGGAAAAAGCAAAGTGCCTCCAAATCAATTCCTTTCCCTCCCTGTAATTTCTAAGTCACAACTGAATAACTTGTTCCTCGCAATACACACAACATTTTGGCCTGTAACTCTCATGATCTGTGACTATGGACTGAGCATGGCTAATGGAAGTTATATGACAAACCATCTGCAGGCCCACCATCTCTAGCACATCATTAGCTGTTGATCAAGGTCAACAAACAACAACATCACAACCCTAAACTCCTGGATGAGAAAGAGGCAAATCATGCTATGATTAATCTGTTCCAGATGAAGAGCACTGGTCTCCATTAAATTTTTTTCCACTAACACATCTTTACTGGAATCAGGGATAATTGGATAATTAAAGTGCAGGTTTCTGTTTAAGCATTAAACAGCTATTCTTCTGTTTACTGCCTCATTTTCTGCACTCACCATCTTTTTTCCGACACAGTGGCAAAAGATCAGATGTTGGCTGACAGGACTTTTGCCACCTGGCTACTAACTCCTCTATAAAGTGCTTCTTCTTGCCATCAGTCCCCTGGATTAAGTCTGCAACATACTCTCGGATCTCTTCCTCATGCTCTATAGACAAGATATACCTAATAAGGAACAAAAAAGAAACAAACTGGAGGAATTTCTCACTAAAAAAACAAACTGCATTTTCCACATACTACCGGTGCAATGAAATTGTTGTGGGCCATGTGAAAGTTATATGAGACCAGCCTTCCCCAAACTGGTGCCTTGTGGACCTGTCGGACTATAACTTCCACCTTCCCTGGTTGCATGGCCATTCTCTCCACTGGATGAAGACAATGGTGCCTAGACCCACACACCTGGAGGACACTGGGTTGGGAAAGGCTGGATTGAAATAATGACTGACTTGCGCTCTCCAACGTGTCATCAAGTTCCCTTTCCCATTCATTCATTAGTAGCTCACACCCCGGTAACACACATCTTTTGGCCCCTGAATATGTATCACTTTACATTTGCTTATATTAAACCATATTAGTTACTTTAACACCCAAGCACACCCCCCACCAGTTTGGAGCAAATATTTGTATGACCCAAAAGATTCTGAGATTGTGATTTCTGCTCAGATTAAATCCATACTGAGGGCTTTCTAATGCAGTTAAGTATGTGGAGTTAAATCTAGATGACTCTGCAATATCCCCATTTAGTCTTTCCTCCTGTGACTTTAACAGTATAAATAGTTTCATTTGCAGAAATCAGCAGGTGGAGCTCTTCAAACACAGACATCAGTATTACCAGCTGCTACTACTTCCAGATGATGCTGTCAGGAAGAAGCCCAAAAAGCCATTAAACAACTGGTGACTCAAAACACCAGCTCTTTTTGACTACTATTGACCCCTCCCCACTTGACACTTTTAACAGTTTGTTAATGAACAGAAATAAGCTTGTTTTTCCTAGCTGGCTTAAATATATTAACTATAAGAACTCCTTGTTCACTGCATCAGCATATAAAATATGGCATCATATATAACCTGCTGTAATTCCCAATTTAAAAAGTAATTGCTTTCCAGAGTTTTTTTTAACTAATTGTACTGTAAAGAAAAATCATGACTAAAGGTACATGATACTAATCAGTGGATCAAATACTGCTATTTTTATTATTTTTGCAACAGTTCATGATTTTCCACAAAGAAGGTAAAGCAACAACCAAAAAAAACCAACAGATATCGGACTGCTTTATGATCTACTTGCTGATGTTTACAATATACCTCAGGCAAATGACGAATCTCTTTCCTTCATGTTATTCCCCATACAGAGGCTGAACAGAAGGGGAGTTAGATCTTTAAAACATGCTCAACTGCACTTAGAAAAGCAGACTAGCTCATGTGGCACACAGTTCTATCTTCCCAACCGCCGCAGCGCCCTCAGGCTTTTGCCTCACAGAAAGGCGGCGTGCAACGTCTGCATCTGTTGAATTTCTGCCTGTCCTAAAGCTGCTAAACGCTGCCAGGAAATGAAGTAGCAAACCACACCAGCGTCGCTGGCCCGTCGGGTCCAAAGAGGCCAACACAGCCGTTCGCCCCTCCGCCCGCACGCCCTGTTCCTCCACCCCGGACAAGGCTGGCCCCGAGGGCGGATTTCGACAACAGCCCCCCGCGGCCGCCCCGTCCCCCTGCCCGCTTTTATTCCCGCAGCTCACTGGACCAGCTCCTCGCCAACATCCAGCCCGAAGCCGCCGCGGAGCTGCCCCATGCACCACGACACCAGCTCGCCGGCCGCCGCCATCTCCGCCCCTGCCCGAGCCCTCTCGGTGCCGGCGGAAGGGGCAGCGCACTGTCGTGACGAGCCGGCCGGTCTTCGCGCAACGCGTCAAGATCTCCGGTGGAAACCAAGAGCCGCGGACGGACAGTTCCGGCCTTAACAAGTCCGGGCTAAAACTTCGGCCATGGAACGCGGGATCGTTGCGAAGCTTCGTAGTCAGCCTCCCCCCCCCACCACACCCCCCCCCTTTAAATGAGGTAGCTTAGGCTGACAGAGGGATTAATTCGCCCGAAATTAGTTGCTAAACTTCACGGCTGAGCAGGAATTAAGGTGTCTCAGTCAAAGTTACTTCACAGGTCTGTGAAGATAAGGGGGTGCGACTAAATATCCGCACAACACTCAAGCATTTTATTGTAGAGAAGTTGCTTTGACTCATCACTGTGGTTATTTTTTGTACCTTTTCCAGCCCCACACAATCTCATTCCTGAGGAGGAATGTCCAGAATTTTACACAGCTTTCCAAATGTAGCTGCACCATGGGTCAATTTAAAACCATGTCTACAAAGGCTTCATTTCCTAACAGAGCAATCGCTTGCCATTCATATGGGTGCTGACAATTCCAGCATGCTCTCTCCATCCCTATCATTGGTGGGTGTTCACTTGCTCAGATTCTTTCTGTACATACCTGAAATTAGAAGATGGGATGTTTGCCTCAATGCACACCACCAGATTTTCATTTGATCTCAATTGTCATGTTATTAAATTATTTATGACATTGTGTTGCCCAGTCAGCCAAAGCTCTTGGAGTCTTTTTGATCTTTGCTGGAGCTCTTTATAATCTGCTTGGGGAATTTTTTTAAGGAGACTGCCATTAAGCTTTATGTAATTGGGTTTCTTCTGCCATTCCAAGTAGTTCAATCATCATCCACAAATGCAGCCATCTCATTGCTCACCCCTGATTTCACAGAAGTTATGAGTAAATGGAAAAATACTCATCTTAGTCAAGATAGTTCAGAAAACCCACTGATTACATCCTCCCATTGCAAGAACTGTTCTATCCAATTTCCTATTCTTGAACTGATACCCCTGAGAGGACCCATTATTTTCCCCTTACATGAACTAAGTTCACTTGGGTGCTTTTTGGTGAAGGGACAAATGGTTCCTTAAAGTATTTATTCAGTCTTTTCTCAAGTCCCAGTAAGATTCTGGTTCTTTGTAATATTTTTGAAAACTCGTGTATAAGAAAGACAATTAAATTTACTTATTAGATTTATATCCCACTTTTTTCTCACAATGAAGTCAGAGCAGCTTACACCATTCTCCTGCTGCTGTTTCCAATCTTATCCACACAACAGCCCTCTGAGGTACTCACGCAGTTGGCTCCATGGCCAAGTGGGAACTAGAACCAAGATCGCTGAAGTCCCAGCCCCACACTCTCAACCATTACACCAAACTGGCTACCAAGAGTGGTAGAGGATGGATTCCTCACTCCCTATAGAGCAACCTTGCCAATGTGCTGCCTTCTTCTGCCATCCCAGTGAGCAAGGAGTCAGCCAGGGATGTGGAGTCACCTCTGATTCTGGTCTCTCAGCATTTGTGTGAATATAGAATCAAGGTGTGACCGTTATTCCAAGCTGAAGCAAATGGTCTGACCCTCCTGAAATATGAATGTGCATAAAGAAAGTAGCAGAAAATGTATAAGAAGGGGTAGATGCTGCTGCATCTTTGACTGAATTATCCCATGAGAGGGAGGTCCATGTCAGCTGTGTGCTTAATATATTTGTCTTCCAGACCACCTTCCCCAAACACACAGCACTATTCTACATTCCTGATGTTAATAAATCAGCTAATGTTTTTGTTGCTATTCATAAAAGAACTATTCCCTGGGCATTCTAAACTTAGTTAAATCACACCCCAATTAAGAGTGCAGGAATCAAATGGAATTTGCTCAGGCACTGCCACTGTTAGCATCTTGGGTGAACATTTGCGGGTTGGGGCAGAAATAGATTGCATGTCCCTAGACTTGGCTCCAAGGCCCAGCCTTAGTTGCACCACTGCAATACTGAATTAAAATTAAAAGAGGAAATAGGTAGAGGTTTCTTGAAAATGTACCTTCGAAAAGACCATAATGAAAAAGACATGGAAGTAAAGCTACACAAGCACTTACAGGAAGCGAAATCCAAACGAAAAGAAAAAGAAATGTGGTAGGGGCAAAAAGAATGTAAATAAATAGTGAGACAGATAGATGGGAGCACAGATGGTGAGAAAATGAAAGCAGAGCAAGGAGGAAGAGGAGAGAGAATCAAATAGTAGATACTCATCTTACAAGCTCTTACCCTTACGCAGCTGCTGCTGATCTTGTCATGATCACGGAACAAGTGGTTCACTGTTATGTCCTGCAAGGCCTTCTATATTCTTTCCACTCTCACTTATGCAAAAAGGGCATCCATGGGCTAAGCTGGCCTTGAAATCAACACCAGCAGTGGAAGAAATATTCTTTGTCCTTCCCTTCTTCAAACAGACTGCCAATTATTAAAATGTTGAGTTACACTCTACCTCTCCTACATACGAAGAGTTACTGTTTGGCTCATGAATGCTCGCTCATAATTCATCCCCTAAGACGAAATTACTTTTACATCTTAGTGAATAATGGTCAAAAAGGCCAAAGGGAAGGAATTAATTGGCAAAAGAAAATGGAGAAAACATTTTTCTCCTCCATTCAGGAGAACAAAGATTAGCCAGAGCAAAACCCAAAAGTCTAGGTAGGGGGAGAGTTATGTACGTAAGTCTCATTGTTGCAATATAATCTTTTGTGTGTGGGGGGGGGATGGGACGATTTTCTGCAATCCATTTGGCCTTCCCATATCCATTACTATCTCCAGTCAGTGCAGAAAAAAATCTGTTCTGCACTGACTCATGGCCAAGTCAAGAAATTTTGTAACATCAAAGGCATGCTATTTCAGAAAATAGCTCTCTGTAGTTTGTTTTACAGAAAGCTGATACATTTCCAAGGATCTTTACTGGGGGAATTTTGAGCTGCCCTCCGAGCTGGGAAGATTACATGGTCCTCATCAGCTGAGGGAGCATTCAGTCCTGTTCCCTATCTTCACACGGTTGCGCTGCTTATGTGCGAACTGGGCCCCTTGCTTCTCAATCTAGATCAAGGACAGGGCTCCCGTCACTAGGGAAACTAAGGAGGCGATCAGAGCTGCTTGAACCAACTCTGGCTCAATTTTTTCCCCACAGGGCCATCAGGGCTTTCATAGTATACCTGACTAATACAATAAGCCAAGTTATTATGGATAGGTATATAGCTAAAGAATAGGAAGCAGAGAATCATAGAAGCATGGAGCTAGCAAGGACCGTGGAGACCAGAGATAAGCTCCATTTTATCCTCACAACCACACCACTGCAACTTAGATTAGGCTGAGAGTCCCTGGTTGGCCCAGTGTCGCCCCACTAGAACTCAAGACCTCCCAATCACTCATTCCAGCACTCTAACCGCTACACCATACTACCTCTTAAGTACTAGTAGCCATGGATAACCTTCCCAATGAATGTATCTAAACTACTTTTAAAGCCATCTACTTTGGTAACTATCACGACATTATGTCCATAATGTTAGTCTACACTGTGTGAAGACCTATTTCCTTTTATCTGTCCCGACTTTCTAACATTTCATGGAATCATTCTCTTTTAGTACTAAGAGAAATTGGGGGGGGGGGACATCCCCTTATCCAGTTTTTCCACAGCCTGCATAATTTTGTCTTCTCCATACCCATCTCCATGCATGAAACAGAGAAACACATGAAGTCCTCTTACTTCACCTTTGCCATGTGTAAAGGCTTCTAAAATTGTGCAGGGCAGAATACATGTGACAAAATAGAATTCAGCAGTGAAATTGAGCTAACAGTTTAGCTCTAGAAGGTTTCAATAACTGCAATTCAATTTAATCTGGAGATTAATTGTAAATGGTGTACTAATTCAATCAAAACCAAATTAGGTAATGTTATATAGTGCATTTATCAATCTACCAATTAAAGAGGGCACTTTGGTTCTACAGGAATGAGCATGCTCTTCAAATATTGTTATACTAACTTTTAAAAACCCACTTAAGGATTGTAAGTGATCTAGAACAGTGGATATATTTCCAGGCAGCAAATGTCACAGCTGAAATGTGTTGTGAGAATGAATATTTTGTCTATCCTGAAGCAGAATTGTTGGCATGCTACTAAAATATATTATTGCATGTTATATTTATACCTCACCTTTTCTCCTTCCAAGGTATTCAAGGCAACATACACAATTCCCCTCTTCATCTCAATCCTATCCTCACAACAACCCTGTGAGGGCTGAGAGTCTGCGACTGGCTCAAAGTCACCCAGTGAGCTCCAGGCTGAGTGGGGATGAGAACCTGGATCTCATGCCTTCCAGTCCTGTGCTCTTAACCTCTACACCATGCTAAATTAACAGAGGCTTTTTGCTGTGCAAAAATAAACGGGCTGGTCTCTCATTTAGCAATGTATTATAATGCTAAAAAAATCAGAGGAATGTGCTGCACTTCTATGACAGATATAATACCTCAGCCCAGGTATCTCCCTCTCCCCCAGTGTCACTATATGCAGTCACTCTAACAAAGTCTAGTCAACAAGTTAACCAGCAGAGTCACTCTTATAATCTCTCTCCTCCAGGCTGCCACAATGTCTGTTTGGTAAATAGATCTAAACTGGTTTAAAACCAATTAAGTGGCTTAACATAATAATGGATGGGGCTGTAAAGGCACTATCTGCCTTAAACTGCTTCAGGTCTATTGAATTCAAAAGGCTTAAATTAGCTTTAAATCTAATTAGTTCAGTTGTATGTGGTTTTGAATGGAACTGTTAATCCTTCCAGATAGAGATCTGTAAGCATTTAACACCTGAAACAGGTTTGTATTCAAAAATGAGCAGGGTGACTGAAAACAGGCATTCATTGGTGGTTACCTGAAATAGGGATAGCTTTATCCTACCATATCAAGGTGGCATACATTCTCATTATCTTCACATCAACCTGTGAAGTAGTTAGACTGAGTGCTTGGCCCAAGATCATCCTGCAAGCTTTATGAATGGGGACTTGAACCTTGCTGTGGGGAGTTCTAATTCAACATACTAAGCACTACATGAAGTTGGGGTTGTTTAGCAATACTCATTTCACCCTTTTCTTAATGGGTAATTTATGCTCTACATTTTATACTATAGATGAAGCCCTCCGGTGGTTTGCAAACTCTAACAAATTAAAATATAAAGAATAGTATAAAGTTTTAAGCAGTCTAGAGGGCAGTATAAAAGATCTTGCATAAAGCCTGGCAGCAGCATGAGGATTTAAAGTACAATGCAGCATTTAATAGTCAGAAACTAGAGGTCCTGAAAAGGTGTTTACCTGGTGCTGGGAAGACTGCAGTGCTGCTGAGCATCCACAAGGAGTTCATTCCATAGTTTGGGTGCCACAGTAGGAAAGGCCACTTCCAATGGGCACCCACCTGGCTTCCTGATGATGTTTATTCTCAATGTGTTCTCTGGAGCCTGCTCTCAAATATAGTGCAGTTTTTTGAAAGGCCTTTCATTGCCTGTGCTTGCTCCCTTCCTGCAGAGATTCCCTTTGTCCAGAAGAGGTCTGATGAACTTATATCTGAAAGCTGTTTGGGCTTTCTTTAAAATTGGTTTGCCCTACTTTGTGGTTTTAGTATTTATAGCTGCTTTAAGTTGATGTGTCATTCTGAAAAATCTAAGTTATTTTCTCAACATATTGTCTGAGAAAAGGTGGGCTATAACTGATGTGGGGCGGTGGTTAAGAGAGTTTTGGGACTTGAGGGACTTGGGTTCTAGGCCCTGCTTGGCATGAGGATCACTGGAGGCCTTAAGCTTCTTTTGAGGATAAAGTGGAGAGGACAACCTTGTAAATCGCCTCGGATCACTTGCAAGAGGAAACAAAATGACGGGATAGAAATATAATGGAGGAGCAGGAGCAGCTGCTGCTGCCGCCGCCGCCGCCGCGCGCGGGCCCGTCCCGGGCAGTCAAAGGGCGAGTCCGCTCGGGACCAATGGAGAGGGGCGCGCGCAAGCGCCTTCGCGCGGAGCTGCTATCGGAGGCGTTCCCTACTCTCCAGTCAGCCGCGGGGCTGCGCGTGATTGGCCCAGGCGCGCCCGCCTGGGCCAATGGCAGCGAGGCGCGCGCGCGGGAAGGACGAAAGTGCGGGTCGGCTGCACGGCCGGAACGGCGCGCTGCCCCGGGTCGGGTGCCTCGCTCGGTTTCGCCGGCGCGGAGATGGTGCGGACCAAGGCGGACTGCGGCGGGACTGCCGGAGCCTATCGGAAAGGCAAGGGGTGCTGCTCGGGCGGGCTGGGCTTCGGAATAGCTGGGGCCGCTCCGCAGAGGTGGCTTGGGCGCTGTCATTCGGCTCCGGCCTCCAGTAGCGTAGCGGGGGTTTCGAAAAAATCAAAACCGTATTTCATGCTTGAATGGCAGCCCCCCACTTTTCCGGAGCAAAGTTCCCTTGAAGTTGGTGGAACCAGGGGGAATTAATCTAAATGAAATTACCCAAGGATGCTGCTTTGCATATTTCTTAACCGGTAGTGCAAATCATGTTGATTTATAACTAAATAGAGTATTATATACAGCATTGTTTCAGTCTTAAAACTGGATATTGCATTTCTTTGTCACACTATACACATCTTGCATGTTTTCCTTTTTAATATGCAGAGGGCTTCACACACATTTCCCTTATAGGATATTTCTTACAATTGGCAACTGATAGTTTGGAAATGCAAGAGCCGGTACACTGGACATTTGTTCCTTTCTGCTTCATTCTGCCTTGACTCAGCCCCACCTTCAAAAAAAAAATCAAGAAAAGAAAAATGAAATGCCCTCACCTGATAAGTTGCAGCAAGGGCTGATAATTTAGGCAAAGAGTAGCTCATGTTTTCTAAGTGAAAATTGTAGGCAGGGTGTATCTACCTGCCATAACAGTATTTGATAAATTATTGTATAGGATCTTGATCTACAGAGGAAAAACCTCTTTTACTCCAATGCATCTATTTGAAGCATTGCTCTGATTCATCAATTAACTATAGAGGAATTATGCTACTGCTCAGAAATAGCCTGGCTATTCTTTAAAATAAAGAATTGGCATTTTTTTAGTTTAAGTGCAAACAATTCTGCAAATGTGAGTGTGATACAGTTGCACATATGTTTAAGAGAGCAGCTTGTTCTTTCTTTTCTGGAAAAGCTGGGTAGAGAGGAACATCACAGTGCATATGCTAACCATCTTCTTTACAAGTGGGTGCAATACTACCTGGTTGTAGCCCCAGAAAAAATTAAGTTGTGTTTATCCATTGTTTCATCTCTAAACCTTTCTTTTTCTTCCAATGCTAGTGGTAGCTGCAAGGGCTCCAAGGAAAGTGCTGGGCTCTGGGAATGCTAACATTCGTTCCTCCCCTACTTCACGGAAAGGTGAGTGTTGGAGGCGACACACAGATTTAGATTTCTGGCTGATATAAACACGACTTGGGACAGGTGTTGTGACTTATCTAGTTTTTAAAAAGGTATTTTCTAATCACTGCCTTTATATTTGCCATGCATCTGAAAAATGCTACACTGATCAACATGTCCTACTGCTACTAAGAGCACAATTATGAGTAGTGTATAGTTTCTGACAGAACTAAATAACATTATGTTGCACTAGGATTTTAAGCCTGGCCAAAATGTATGTTTGTGGGAGTTTATATAGCGTGGTAAGTAACATACTGTGTACCATGAATCAAGAAGTGTGCTGCAGGAAATGAAAGGCTCCAGTGTGTTCAAGTAGCCACCTATAGAAGAATCTATTGTGTTGGCCTTGTCTGCTTTTAAGGACTTCTGCTGGAGAGAGGCTGTGACTGAGACATTCATAATGCAGAGTTGCAACAGGTACCAGCTTTTTCGAAGAGAACTTTGAGCAAACCTGCTGCTTGCTCTACACTTGCCTCTTGCTTCCTGTCTGGCATTAAGCATGATCAGACCGATAACTCACAAAGAAACGGTGAGTTCAGCAGTACTGAGGAGAAGTGAAGTGGCTACTTGGGTGGTAATGCACATTGCTTTCCTTACCACAAAATGTGCATGAAGTCATCATCCCCGCTGCATTTGTGGGCCTTCATGCACGTTTTGCTGATAAGGGCCCAGACCTTTGCCCCAGAAAACTGATACCTGCAGGCAGGGTGGGGTTCTGTTGAAGGAAGGAAATGCCTAGATTTGCGTGTTGCGTGAGTTAAAAGCAAATTTCAACATATTAAAGTGAGCTGTACTTCCCAAACTTTGTTCAGAAAACATGCTGTAGGGCACAAACAGTTGGATGAGTTGCTTTTTGGCAGTTTTCCTGGAAAGGCAGATGGCTGATGTGACATCCCCCCCCCCCCCAATGTTCTAAACCTACAGAGTCCTTTGCGGTTTAAGATCTAGGCTGCAATTCCTTGTATACTTTGGAATAAGTGTTGAACTTGACAGCTTGTGAGTAAACCTATATAGGATTTTGCTGTTTAAATTAGATGGGCCTTGCTTCTGATTAATATATCAGAGTCTGGAAACTAGTTGCTGTAATTAGCACACTCTGATATATGTATGGAAGATATGTTTGTAGTGCTTCATGGTTTGTAGTTCTTCACGTGCGTAGCCATTTCCTGATTAGTGCACATCTCTTAGGAAATTTTTGTAGTCATGATCTTTTATGTGATTTTTTTTAATTGTTGGATTCTGACGCATTGCAGCTGAGAGTAAGTACAGTGGTGGCAACCCAGTGTGTATGAGGCCAACACCACCATGGCAAAAAGGGATTGGAGAATTCTTCGGGCAGTCCTCAAAGCGTTCAGAAAAAGAGAACCAGGCCTCTGAGGAGGAGCCAGGATGCAGCGGAATAGGAAGGCGCAGACGAAAGTAAGGATGGTGCCTCTCCTTCCTCTTTATCATATCCCTTCAAGCACAATCCTGAACACATTTAGAGAGAGGAAAATGTCCCACTTGCAACGTTCCTTAGCCAGCACATTTAGCTTTCTGTATTTTTCTGGCTAAACACTTACAGGATTGTACGCTAGTCATGTGGCAACTTAAATGATATTGATGAGTGAAACACTGATCGTGGGCCTTGCAAGAGCACTTCAAATTTGGCTTCTGTGCCTATGAATGGTTCTAGATGTCTCACTTGGCTCTCAATGCTACTAAGTCAAGCCACTCACTCAATACAGCACCGGCATTTGGTTGCATTGTCAAGAGCCATGGGAAATAAGTGCCAAATCTAGGATTTTTTTTTTTTTTTTTTTTTGGTAAACTCTGACTTACTGACCACCTTCAAAGAACTGCATGTGGAATACTGAATTTTGCTTCATTTTTAATGGAGGTGATTTTAAAAACAGCTTCAGAGTTTCTTAGAAATATCATAGCAAGGAATCTCAGTAGGTGCCTTGATTTAAATCAGATAAACTCTGAAACTTGACTTCAGAATTACCCTCTATTCGCCCAGCATTTTAATACATAAATATTTTAACTAAGTTTTTAATGGTTCATGCTCAGTCACATTTTATTATGCTTGTTATGTTATATTGTATTTGTTGTTTATTGTTAGGTTTTATTTATGTTGTAAGCCATCCTGGGATGTTAAGGATGGGGTAAAAATATTGTAAATGAATAAATAAATCTTTTGTGTGTATCAAGTAAGGCCTCAGAAGCATTTGGTTTAAATCAATTTGGAGAACTGATTCCAACTGAAGACAACAAAGATTGAGTATACTTAGTACAGGATATTTATTAGGATATTTATTTCAGTTTCCCTAAATAGCCAAATATCCTAAACATAGCTGAACACTGGGGGGCGGGGGTTCAGCTGCCTTTCAGTTCTGCACAGTCTGCATTTCACATGAGGGTTCAGGGTGGGGAATGGAGGGCAAAAATGGTTCCTGGATCACCAAAGGTTGCCCACCCTGGTTTAATTGCAGTTCGACCCGAGAAGACATTGAAATATCTTTTCTATAATAAACCCAAGCTGCATTTTAGGCGATTCTAATAGTAGCAGTGTGTGTGCCATACTTGTGTCATAGTTTGAAGCTGTGGCTCTGTCTTGAAATGCAAAAGTGAAAAATGGGGATTTGAAACTATATTGCGGTTGTAAATGGGATCTTGCCTCAGCTACACAAATGGCTGGCTAGCTGGAGAAGGCTTGGCCCAGTGTGGCATTGACTTCTTTATGCTGCTTTCCCTTCATAGAGCTCGTCCCCTGCCTACAGAAGAAGAAGCACCTCCTGAAGAAGACCAGATGTGAGCCACTCGCAGCACTTGCCGTGTTCTGTATCTGAGGTGGCTTTGTGTATACACATGTATATATTGCATGCCTTTTGGGTACAGGTCTTTAAAGAAGCCTAGCATGTTGTTTTGCTTCCTGAAATGACTGAAACTGGAATGACTGTATGGGAATTGAGAGTGCTAAAATTTCCTAGGAGTTTAGCCACCCATAAAGCATTGCAATGCTGGGTTTGATGTTGAATGCGCTTTGCTTCTTTGTGCACTTCCTAAAATTTGGTTAGGCCGCTACAAGTGTTATTAAAATTGGTTGCAAAAGCTCCAGTTGTATTTTGATGTGCTATAAGTCTGTTTCTTCCAAGACCTTGAGAAGGTTGAACTGAACTCCTCTGATTAAATACAGATTACTTTATAATAAAAGAATTTACCAAGTAATGACAGAATAATTGTTTTGCTATTTTTTCATTCCTAGTTCAATAGGGTCAAGCTGCTTACAGGTATCAATCATAGATGGTTCCTCACCTCAGACTTATAACTAAAAAGATAAAAGGAAAGGGAGAGAAAACATGATACTTATGGTTTATTCAGTTGACCAGATGGAACAGAATATACATATTTCAAACCAATTGGCTTGTCTTTTATTCCTTTGTGTCTTCTGAGTTCACACTTAATTTGTTTTTTCTCCCATCTCAAGGGAAGATGTTTCCCTAGAAGGACTTCTAGTGATGGGGCAGGAAGGGGCTACCACTGGGAGCTGAATAGCAGCAGCTCACCAAGTTGTGTCTTCTCGCATCACCTCGGAGCAATTCTTCAAGCAATTAATGTCCCCAAAGATTTTCTCTTTATGTAAGCCAGTAATAGTTGAAATTAGTATATTTTTGTACTCAGTTCCTCTTGTCCACTAGAAATGGATGCCTTTGGACAGCAATCTTGCATTCCAATTATGGCCATCACATTAATCATTTAAATGAAGAAATTGGTTTTTCTTCCTTGGATTTTCTATCTCTTGCATTAAATTAACTTGAGGCAATGACAGAACTTGACAGTCCCAAATTCAGACCATAGGAATGTTGTTAAAATCAATGGTACTAAATTTGGGTAAATGTGCTCAAAATTCAGTGTAGCCCTTGTTGAAATACTCGTGGAGTGCTTGATATGTCGTATGTTGGAAGTCTAAGCAGTAAATTTTTAAATAGTACCTTCCAAAAAGTTTTGCAACTGCCTGGAAGGTTGATAAATATTACAATAACTGGTGAGGGGGAGATTAACCTGTGCCAAGATGAAAACCATTATGTGAAGTAGAAAACTGGTTCCAGTTTTGTTGCTAATCTTGTTCTCCAAGAGGGCACTATGCCTGAAACTCTCGATTTTAATGTGGGTTCAAATACCTTAGGGCTGAGACTCATTTTAAGACATGGGTTAGAAAAACTTACTAAATGTACCTGGCTTGAATCCAGATTGATTTCACTGGTTCTCAATGGCTCTTGGTGTCATGACCAACCAATCCCATTGATTGGGTCTACAGTAAGTATGACTCAGTCAAAACCTTTTCTATGCAACTAAAAAGCTGTCCTATTGATTTATAGCCTTGGAAACTTAAATTTCTGTTTGCCTTAAGTGGGGGAACTGCCACAACTCATGTGTCTATCAGAGGAAGATATGAACATCTCTGCAGTGTGATGACACAAAGCCAATTGATAACAATCAGACTATCCTCTTCCTGCCTTCCTGTCCTCATACTTGGGAGGCTCTCCGTGTTCCTTCCAAGTGGGAAAATGGAAAATGTATTTAAAGTTTTTGTATCTTGTCCAGCTACTACTGTCCTGGGACAGTCTTACAATAAAAACAATAAAAATAAAGCATAGCAATGTTACAGTGTGACAATGCAATATTTTTCCATGTTTCTGAGAGCTAGAATATTTTCTCAATGTTATCGGCTTGAGAGGCTTTGGAGAAATGGAGTTTTATTCAGTGAATGAGCATCTTTAAGAACAAAGGGCGTCTACTACAAGTGTATGCATGTCTTTTCTCCCTGTGTCAAACTAATGGCAGGTAAAAATAATGCTTTGGATGGAGCAGGCTTCTGCCACAAAGTTGCAATGCTTAACACTGGCAAATTCAATTGAAATTAGACTCTATATAGCATCAACAGGTATGGAGGATTTTTTAAAGTATACATTTTAAAGTCTCTCTGCCCTGAACATCTTTCTAAACTTGAAGATGAGTGAAAAGGGAAGTAGATACGGGAATAAATACTGTAGAAGAATGTGACTGCCAATTACAGGTTTTTATAGTACAGCATGGAAACTTAGGTGTTTGTATCCAAAACATTGAAAAGGTGGCTTCTGGGGAGGGATTTGAAAAATGACAGATGGATGCCATCACACAGATTCTTGGACAAGCAGTCCAACTAGGTCGGGCAGAAGGAGAGAAAGCACTGCCTGGAGAAGGTGGTGCTGGAGAGGAAAGCTCGCAGGCAGGTATCTAGATGCAAGAGTGAATACATTGGAAGGCAAAGCCATGAAGGGCTTTGAAGGGGAGGACAAGCTGCAAAGGATGGGAAGCTGATGCAAGGATTAAAATGTGAGCAGCCTCAGTGGTGCAGTGAAGAGGGCTAATGAAATTTGCAGGTTCCATCTTTTGTGACAGATTAACAAGAGGAAATCAGAATGAGAATTAGATGCTGGATGGTATTTGAGGCAGTCCTACTTCACACTAGCAGTTCCAATGGCAACATTTCTAGTTTAAGGTCGCAGTTCCGCGAGTGCAAGGACTCTCGCTGTAGTACTTCTTTTGTTTTGCAACCTGAGTTTATGCAGACCAGAACCCATGGGACGAACACAGTCCATCGGCAAATCTCGGAAACGTTTCAAAATCCACGGTCGAGGAATAGGACCGGCCAAAACAGGATAAATGAAATTGTAGACATCTTTTGTGCTCCTCGCGATGTACACTAAATATGTCTGTGCATGTTTCTTCTGGACCAGCCCGGCTTTGTTTTTTGTCCGCGGAACACGCGGCATGGGCGCTGCGTCGCGTCCTTCCCTCCCACGTGCCTCTGCTACTGCGGGACTTTGGCCAGCGCAGCGCCCGCGCCGCCGCCTGCTCCCCCGCGTCACGTGGCCTCGGCGCCTTGCCCTTCTCGGTCCAGCCCAGTTCCGCGTAGCAACCGAACGCGGTTACTAGGGCGCGTTCGTGGCACCCGGGACCCGGAAGCAGTTCGCAGACGCGGCCGAAGGCCGGCTCGCGCCTCTCCCATAGGGCGCAGGCTGGCGGAGGGCGTGCCTGCCGGAGGAGCTTCCGGGTGGCTCGCTCTCCCTCAGAGCGCCTCGCGAAGGAGGGGGCAGTGGCCCCGGGTTCGCGCCCCCTCCCGGGAGAAGCGGCTTCCCCCCAGGACGGTAGGAGGGCCGGGGCCAGGCGGGCGCCTGCGTTCTCGGGCATGCTCGCTCCGCGTCCTCCGGCGCCTCAGGTTGTTCGCCTCCCGGGATTCTGTTCCGTTAACGGCGGCCACTACTTATCGGCCACTCATCGGGTTGTGAGGGACGGGAGGAGCGGGCGGAGGCTGCCTGGAGCCCGGCATGTTCCGACTTGCCCAGGCGCGTCCGTTTCCTTCCCGCCCGCCCGCCGCTCGTGCCTGGCAGGCTGTGCCTTTTCCCGCGGAGGGAGCGCTCGCCGTTGTCTCCGCGGGGCCACGCGGGGAGGCTGGGTGCGCGCCCGCGCTTTGGGGGGAGCGGGGCGCGTGGAGCTGCCCCCGCCCCCCCCCCCACCCGCACTTGGACACGGAGCTCTGCAGGAGCGTCTGCGCTTCAGTGGCGCGCAGCGGGCATCAGGGCTTCCTCTTACATAGGGGTGTGTGTGTGTCTGCCTGTCTGCCTCACTCCCTCCCTCCTTTTTTTGTTTTCCCGTTGCAACCCCTTTCCCATAAAAAGTTCCGGCTGTGTAGCCTGGAGCAAAATCCTGAGAAACGGCCGGAGCCAAAAGACGGGACCGTAAAGGGACTTTGACAAGTCTCTCTCTGCGGTGGGAAACAGCAGCGCGCTTGCTTCTTTAGCACCGCGATAAATCCTGGCTCTGCCCTAAGCCAGGATCTGTGGAGAAGGCGAAATAAAAGTAGAAACGCCTGTTGTTTTGCCAGGTGCTGGACACGTACGGCGGGTCAGAACTTTCATGTGGGGATGAAGCTGCTAATCTGTATAGCTCAGTCTTCTCTCTACAGGAAGTGGCCAACTGGATGCCCAGTAAGGGCCCTTGAAAAAGAATTAAATAGCAGTGTGAACATAATGGAGGGTGCTTCCTTGAAGATGTTTGGCTTTGAATATGAGATCAAGTTTGTTGTACTTAATTGCTTTAGAAACGCTGTTTCTGCCAGAAGGTTGTAACACAAATCTGGTGAAACACAGTTGTTCTGACCAGTTACGTATTGTTTGAAAAATAATGGTTTCTTTGTGTTTTCTATGAACTTGCTCACATATTATTTTGAAGTACATTGAAGGACTCAGTACTTCAGAACCTTTAAATTAGGTGTAATCAAACTCTTCTTAGGAAGCCAAGTTTAACAATATAGGAAGAACGAGGATGTAGCTACACCAAAGGCACTAGGATTTTTTTATGCTTCCTGTCTGCCATAGGCCTCTTGAATGTATTGTTTTTCTTTTCTAAGCCTAGATGACTCAGTATATAAAACACAGCAGTTTATTCTTAGTAAGGTTTGTACCTGTAGGTCCAAACAAGGCTGATCTTTTGTTGCCCTTCCAACAAGCTTGCTTCTGCATTTTACTGGGTGTTGAGCTGAAGCAGGATTACATATATGAAGAAAAATCATCAGCTATTAGGGTTATCTTATCAAGAGATGCATTTAATAACTAATTCCAGAATTCATTCAAGTCAAAGCTACTTTGTGTATGGGATGTGTATTGTGTTTAAGGGTGTTAAAATAAGTTTAACATATGTATTAACGTATACCCTGTATCCAGAAGTAAACTTAAGCATATTTTCTAGAGTAGGTCTTCTCTCATGCTTAGTGTTAGACTGCTTTGCATGAGAATAAAAGCTGTTTTTTAGAAATGCTACATAATTTAAACTTTAACATTTCAACAATGTCCTAAATTTATCTTTTGTTTCAAAAGATACAATTTTATCTTTTAGTGGCAATGGAATATGTGTGTATATTTTGGCATAACATTGTTTTGTATTTTTGAAAAAAGAATTGGTGGGAACTGTATGACAGGAAGTTTGCTTTATTTCAGTCTGAGCAGATTCTGTATGTTCTGTGTGCTCTTAGTGACATTCAGAAGTGCTAGCTTAACTTAAGCACAGCTGCTCAGTTTTAGTTAACAATAGTACACTAAGACATCATCACTTTTTAAGTATGTTTTTATTTTTATGAAAATATGCAATTGCTTTTAATGGACAATGCCTTGATCCATACTGCCGTACTGCTGTGTATGCGCTGTCACTTTGCACTCATTGTATATTGCTTCCTGTTTGGTACACAGCTTCTGTACTTTGCATTTCTATTTTTGGTAAGCTGAAGTTTTGCACTTTAGTTTAGGAATAGAGCAAACTCTACACACACAAACAAAAATAAACATTGACAGCTTTTATTCTGGCAGCCTTCTATTGAGCACATATATATGGATGTAGGTTTCATAGCTTTCCATGAAATGGATTGCAGAGTAAGGTCCATTTGAGGTGACTCATCAGATATTTTGGGCTTAAAGTAGTGCAAGAAGGTTGACTATAAATTTTGTTCCTATGTTGCTTATTCTAGAATAGTTCCTAAGTATGTACCAATCTATAGCATGGTGTTAGACTGAATAATGCTTGATGCTTACTCATTAGGGCCATTAGTCTAGAATTGGACTTCTGAGTTCCATAGTAGCCTCTGATGCACACAGTAGCTTAGTACCAGAGAGAGAGAGAGAAGGTTTGTTTTTCCTGACTATGCAAGTTGTGTGTATATGGCATTTCCTAAGAGGGGCACAGTGATGTCAGTAGGATTATTTGAATATAAACTTGTACATCTATGGTGAAAGATTAATTAGTCATGTAGGACTGGATCCAGATTTAATTATATTGCATCAGATCCACTGAAATAAATTGGACTTACGTTAGTATGGTTAAGTGTGGATCCAGACCTTATTACTTAAGGCACAATTGTCATAGGCACTGTGCATAGCAGTATGAGCATCTCTTTCAAGCCCAGCCTCTCAGACAGTGTTGTCCACAGAGATACCTGGTTGAATGTGGGAACATAGACTTGCTTGCTTGTGACCTGAACCATACTCCTAGAGATAGTCATGAGCAAGATTGACATGGTAGCAACAGCTGGCTGCAAATGTTCATGTCCACATAGAGACAGCCTTCTTACTCAGTGCTGAATTGTGGGCCATTTAAGACAAACTGTTAAATGTAGTGAACGCGGGTCAATATGGAAAACAGTTCCCCTTGAGATACCTGTCTTCCTTCTAGTTTGTGTCCCTCCAGATGTTCTGCCCTGCAGCTCCCTCACCATGGGCTGTGTTACACTTGCTCATTCGTGTCCCAAGAGCTTCAATTTGGAGACATTCATAGCAGGCAAGCACATCTGAAACAATAGCCCTTCACATGCATCTCTGGTCTAGCTCATGCACTGAAGACTTTTAGAGGGAAGATAGCTATTTCAAGATTTAATGGGATGTTTTATAATTTATGTAAATACACTGGTAATTAGGCTTCACTAACCCCCCAGGACTTGCTTCTTCTGCCTGTTCTATGTGAGATTGCCCTTCTCAGGTGATCTACAAACTTACATGATACATATACTGCCCTGCACCTGGTAGCTCAAAGTGACCAGTTTTTATATTGAACTCCTGCATCAGCAGTCAGTTACTTGAAAGCGTAAAGGCAAGCCTGTATACCTCTGTTACCATCAGTCATTGCAGATGGCAAAGTACTGACATAATATGAGAACACCAGCCATTCCCAGCTGTCTAACTGCCCTTGCTTGAACTAATGGAAATTGCTGCACTGTCTTCAAAGACAACTCCAGGTATAACACTTTGCTATAATCCTAATGGCAGGTGAGCAGAACAGCAATAATGGTTGGGATGCTCTCTCTGTCAAGGTAGGGTTGTACTTAATACATTAGCCTAATCTGGTAAAGGCACTTTGGGCCACTGAAAAAACCTCTGACTGTCATGACAATGATGGATCTAGGAGCACATGCAAGTGTTAAATTTGTTCCTTTAAAGGGAGTGCAGTCCCCTCGGAAGCAGGTTGAACATCACTTGATTGAACAGATGAATCTCCTACAGAAAATATCTCTGTCGTGCCTGGATTCTGCCTCATTTAATTGATCCTTATCTGATCCATTACCCTCCCAAAGCACTGACTCAGAACTTCAAGGACCTCACTATATTAGATGAAAAAATGAGGTAGAGCTCGGCTTCTCCACAGAATAAAGCAGGTTTTGCTATTGTGGCATTTTCTTATTCAGTATCTGTAGAATGCTGCTGGGAATTTGGAGTTCCAGTTCATCTAACAAGTCCGTGTTACTCTTGTTCAGTGTTAGAATAAGGGTACCAGTTCTAAAACGGTGTCTGACAGCTATTGTTGAGTAGCTGGTGAAGCTATCTTCAGGTGCAACAGAAATAATTGGTCAGTACTTAGTGAATATAGGTTATTTCCAGACCTAAGGGAATGAAAGTGTCAGCTAGAATGTTCTCTGCGGTTTATACTTGGCCAGTAGTGTCTGCTGCTGGATGGTAGTGTCTGCTACTAGCTTTAGTTAATTTATTATGACAGATGCTGGGCCAAAATGCTTTTGCAATTGTAATTAATTAATTCAATGTATATGCTGCCCCACTAGCCATAGGCTTGGAACATGAATGCCTTTGTAATATCTAAGGTCAACTACTACATTATTGTCAACATATGGGTACTACTGGAAAAAAACTTAGACGGTCTATCAGAATGGTTCATAGTGCTAGAAGGAGGGAACTGATTTAGCTAAGGCCTGCAATTTAATGTCATGGCACAGTTCATTTATAGTATTTTGCAAAAGTGTATGTGGGCTCTGCATAACTACGCAGACAGTTGTTCTAGGTTAGTTCAACTGTAGCTGGAGTACAGCTTTGTACTTCTGTGTAAGAAAAAAACAGTGGAGGACCTTTGTGGAGCCATTTTATTTTATTTTATTTTATTTTATTTTATTTTATTTTATTTTGAGATGATTTATTGAAATGGACTAGCCACAGAAACATCCTGCACTCATTCCAGAGGCAGTGTAATGCTCATAGTAGGAACATCTTTAGATAGTCTAATACATTAAAATTCTTAATTTGGATTATAGTTAAAATGCTAATGTCATAAGTTTTTATTTAAAAAAAACCGCTTTGAGTATTTTGGAAATAACTTGGAGTATAGGATCAATTAGAATAGTTGGCTCTATGGTAAACCTTCACTTTCAGCCAATGCCAGATTTTTAAAAAATTGTAAATATGTAGGCAAGGCCTTATTTACCTTTTCATCTATGACTTTCACATGGCATTTTGTACACTTCTTGTAAATGCAAAATGACTAAGGAATGATACCTGCCATGGCAGGAGCAAGCTCACCAACCAGTTGTGTCTGGCTGTGTATGTGTGTGAAAGAGGGGTGGATATTGTGGAGTGACACTGGTTTTGTGCAGCTTTTAATTGCTTGAGAAGCAGATCATATAACCATAGTGAAGCATATTTGCCAAGTAAATTTATTATAAGCCATGGCTTGTGGATATGGTGAAGCTTACTGCTGTAAAATTCTCCTTCCAGCCTTTTTACACTGCCAGCTCAGCTCTTGCGTTCAGCTCTCCATGTAGGCACCTACTTGTTCAGTTGCTCAGTGCTGTTGCGTGGGCACAACTGTGAGCTGCTTCCATGGCAACCACCTTTTGCTGTTGACTGATCTGCAAATAGGTGCTTAAACTATGCAGATTTATTCCAATCTCATATGCATTGGTAAATTGTAATATTAGGTCCCAGTTTTGCTTGCTTATTCAGTCAAGTGGTAGGTATCTTGACCTTCAGTTGGTTTGTTGGGATTTTAAATCAAAATCCAAACTGTGGTCAGACTGTTCCTTCAGTTTAGTGTTCATGTAACTGGACCCACATCATATTAATTCTCATACTGGAGACTTTTTGATAGTTTTCCATTACATGATCATTGTAATAGTGCTGCAATGGTGGGGCACATCTTTCATTGATTGTGTGGGTTTTATTGTGTTCGTAGACACTGCTGTCCCGTAATCTTGGGATGATATTCAGATTTCTGGTTTTGCATCATCTGATACAGATGTTAAATAGTAGTATTGTGCAGACCAAGAGCCTCTTAAGAAAAGTGCTATTGTAAGGAAATTGAGAACCTTATGATGCACTAGCCAGATTTCCTTAATTATCCTCACTGGCCGGACTTACCATGTTGTCTTAAATCATGTGGCATAGTCTGTTTGAGAGGACAATAACCCTCTACTAACCCATCGGCTGCACTTGGATTCTTTGGGGATTGCTTTCTGACCTTGGAACCCAGCTGGCACAATTCTTTCTGCCCTGGATGTGAGGGGAAATGGATCTCCAGTTCCCTTTTCTGAGGTTGGAGTATTACCTCTGACCTTGTTAGGGATGGGGACAGAGACAGAGAAGGAATTCCCTCTTTCCTATGGCAGTCATAGGATCACACCCTAAAGCACTTAATTCCTGGATACTATTGGAAGGGCTTTCTGATGTTTTATGAAATTTGCTTTATTTCATATTGATAACATATTTTAATTTGTCTCTCAAGGTGCTTTCTTCGTGCAACGTGCAGAACTTAGTATAGCAAAATAAGTGCTATACTAAGTGGGCAGTCCCGACGTTTGTGGTTGTGCGGGGCTGGGCTGCGGGGGGACTGGGTGGGGGGGGGGTTTTTTTAATTTGTTATTGGGGGGGTGATAAGGGGGAGTTTTTGATTGTTTTAAAGGTTTTTATTGTATTTTAATCTGTTTTATGGCGTCGTCCCTGGCCATGCCAACGCTTGAGTTTCCTGGGGAGCGCGAGGGCGCCGCCATTGGCGTGGTCATGGGCAATGGGCGTTACAGCGGTGGGGGCTTAGCGTGTCTGCGTAGAAGAAGGAGGGACAGATGGCTGACACCTGTCCCTCCTTCTGGTTTTGTCCCCAGCTGGAGGGTGCCAGGTAGTCTTGTCAGCCGCCCCTTGGGCCTGATGGTGCTGCTGCTTAATGCCAGGTCAGTCCACAATAAATCTTCCCTCATGCATGACTTGATTGTGGATGAGGGGGCCAACCTGGCTTGCATAACGGAGACCTGGGCGGGGGGGGGGGATGTCGCCCTCTCTCAAATGTGCCCGCCTGGGTATTTGGTTCAGCACCGTCCATGCCTGGAGGGGAGGGGAGGGGAGGGGGGGGTCGCTTTGGTTTACCAAGCCTCCATCTCCCTCATGGGACTTCCGGTCCCTTTGAGGCCAGGGCTGGAGTGTCTCTACTTGGTGTTGGGCGACCGAGACAGACTGAGGATTCTGTTGGTGTACCGTGCACCCTTCTGCCCAACAGTCTCCCTGCCTGAGCTGACGGAGATCGTCTCGGACCTGGTGTTGAGGACCCCCAGGATGTTGGTCCTGGGGGACTTCAATCTCCATGCTGAGACTGGTCTGACCAGGGAGGCTCAGGATTTCATGGCCTCCATGACGGCCATGGGACTGTCTCAACATGTCACCGGCCCGACCCTTGAATGTGGACACACCCTGGACCTGGTTTTCTCGATGGGGCAGGAAGAGGGTGGTCTGAGGGTGAAGAATTTATGCCTGACACTCCTGTCATGGTCAGATCACTTCCTGGTGAGGTTTGAGCTCGAGACCGGCCTCTCCCTCTGTAAGGGTGCGGACCCGATTGTGTGAGTCCGCCCTTGGAGCCGGATGGATCCGGATGGATTCCTGAAGGCCCTGGGGGAGTTTCTGGCTGACAAGACTGGTGCTCCTGTCGAGGCCCTGGTCGAACTGTGGAACGGGGAGATGACCAGGGCTGTTGACACGATCACTCCTAAGCGTCCTCTCCCGCCGGGCAGAGCCCACTCTTCCCCTTGGTATACACCTGAATTGTGGGTGATGAAGCAGGCTGGGAGACGGCTAGAGCGTAGGTGGAGGAAACCACGGGATGAATCTGACCGAACACACTTAAGAGCCCATTATCGGGCCTATGCTGTGGTGGTGAGGGTGGCAAAAAAGAAATTCTTCTCCATCTCCATTGCCTCCTCAAAATGCCGTCCGGTGGGGCTCTTTCGAGTGGTGCATAGCCTGGTTTATCCTGGCCCCAAGAAAGATCTGGTTTCACCCTTGAAGGCCCGCTGTGACGACTTTGCCAAGCATTTCAGGGAGAAAATTGCTCAGATTCGTCACGAGCTAGACTCTACTAGTGACTCAGAGGTTTCTGGGGAGATACCAATGCCTCTGCCTGGTCCAAAATTAATGGATAAATTTCAGTTATTGCAGCCTGATGATGTGGACAAGGTGCTTGGATGACTATGTCCCACCACTTGCCTATTGGACCCTTGCCCGTCTTGGTTAATAAATAACGCCAAGCACGGGATTGGGATCTGGATCTTGGAAGTGGTTAACGCTTCTCTGAGGGAGGGTCGGGTACCTGTCTCTTTAAAGGAGACGGTAGTCTGACCAGTCCTGAAGAAAGCGTCACTGGAACCAGAGATGGCCACTAAATATAGACCAGTGGCCAACATCCCGTTTTTGGGCAAGGTGTTGGAGCGGGTGGTGGCAGGACAACTCCAAGCACTCTTGGATGAAACTGATTATCTGGACCCATTTCAGTCCGGCTTCAGACCCGGGTACGGTACTGAATCTGCCTTAGTCGCCCTGTATGATGACCTGTGCAGGGAGAAGGACAGGGGGAGTGCGTCCCTGTTGGTGGTTCTGGACCTCTCAGCGGCTTTCGATACCATCGACCATGGTATCCTTCTGGATAGGCTTGCGGGACTGGGGGTCGGAGGCACTGCTCTGCAGTGGTTCCGCTCTTATCTCAATGACCGTTTCCAGGAGGTGGTGCTGGGGGACTATGGCTCTGCGCCATGGCAGCTATGCCATGGAGTACCGCAGGGGTCCATTTTGTCGTCTTTGCTGTTTAACATCTACATGAAACCGCTGGGAGAGGTCATCAGGAGGTGTGGGCTGTGGAATCATCAGTACGCTGATGATACCCAGCTCTACCTCTCGTTTTCCACCAATCCAGGTGAGGCAGTGGCTGTGCTGAACCGGTGCCTGGCCGAGGTAATGGGCTGGATGAGGGCCAATAAACTGAAGCTCAATCCAGACAAGACGGAGGTCCTGTTGGTTGGCGGATCGAGCTTCGGTGAGGGTGAATTGAACCTAGTCCTGAATGGGGTTGCACTCCCTCTTAGGGACCAGGTCCACAGCTTGGGAGTGCTCCTTGACCCAGAGCTTTCACTGGAAGCTCAGGTGACAGCAGTGGCGAGGAGCGCTTTCTTTCAGCTTCGGCTGATCCATCAGCTGCGCCCCTACCTGGAGTACGACTGCCTGACGACAGTGACACACATGTTGGTGACTTCCCGACTTGACTTCTGTAACGCGCTCTACGTGGGGCTACCCTTGAAGACAGTCCGGATACTTCAAGTTGGTTCAGAATAGAGCTGCCAGGCTGTTGATGGGGACTGGGTGTTATGCTCATATGACTCCAGTCCTCCGTAAGCTTCACTGGCTTCCCATTGAAGTCTGGGCCCAATTCAAGGTGTTGGTGATCATTTATAAAGCCCTAAACGGCTTGGGTCCTGGCTACCTGAAGGAGCGCTTATGTCCATATATGCCCGCCCACCCCCTGAGATCAGCAGGAGAGGCCCTTCTCTGGGAACCCTCCATGAAGGAAATTAGGAGGGTAGGTACTTGGAGGAGGGCTTTCTCTGCGGTGGCGCCCAATCTATGGAATGCGCTCCCCAGAGAGGTCTGCCTGGCGCCGTCATTATTTGTTTTTCGGCGCCAGGCGAAGACCTTTTTATTTAAGCGTCATTTTAATTGTTAATGTTATTTTTATTTTAAAGTTTTTTGGCCAGGGCAACTTATTTTATATAGTTAGGTGTATTTTATATTGTTATTTATGTATTTTAATTTATTTATTTGTAAGCCACCCCGAGGCTTCGGTGAATGGGGCGGCCTAGAAATTTTCTAAATAAATAAATAAAATATAATACCATAGGAAAAACCAATCAAAACCTGATCGTGCTCTTTTAAAATGAGCTGGAACAACTATTTAAAAACACAGCAGTAGTCAACTATGGAGTAAAACAATGTTTTAAAAACTTTCTTAAAAACCAGCAGTAACGCTGCTATGTGAATTTCCTTCTTAGGTCCCAGCATTTGATATGGAAAGGGTAAGCCTGGCTCAGAATATTTAATTCCTCCAGCCCCGATAAGCCTATTTTCTTCTCATTCATTCTCAGCACCAAATGATTTAAGTACTTGGTTTGATTCCAAGATAAATGTTTAATGGCACAACTCTGACTTACTGGGGTGAAAGTGACTGATTTAGTTTTCCTGTCCTTTTGTGCTCTTTAGGTAGCTTGAACATACTCAAAAAGAACTCTGTTTCCACAAACCAGAGAAACAGGAATTATTTTGTGACTGATTAGCTATGCAATCAGACACACAAGCTTTACTTCACAGGACTCTATTTTAGTATTGGAGGATTCAGGTATATGAAATAGCTAGTATTGGCATTAGATTGTTTGTTTGTTTCATATCTGCTGCCCTGCAGTTTGTTGGGCAGAAGCTGTGTTGCTCTGAACAGCACCTAGTTTTTAATGTACTCAATACATTTTCATTACTCCTCTAAGAGTAATCCACAGGACTTCCAGACTTGACTACTGCTACTTACTATTTGTAATGGTCAAAATAAGAGAGACTTGTTTTGTTTGATGTGAAGATGCCTTGCTTTCCTAATGGTTCTCTTTGTACTCCCTAAATACACTTGGACTGCATTGTGTTATCACAACCATTTAAGTTCCATGAGTCGGTCACATTCTAGGCTGATGCAGCCTTTCCATCTAGCCAGTTATGTTTTACCCAAGACACGTAGCTTAGAAACATAAAGCTTTTTCTTTCGGGCAAACGGCAAAATGCTCTTGCGCTTATCCTTCCTGAGCCAGGTATGACCAAATAATTGGGTTAACATTAAGTCACAGACCAAGGGAGGAGGAAGAGACCTTTCCACTTCTTTGTGATACCTTTTCTTTTCCTCTAGATGAAAATGAAGCAAACTCTTTCGCGTACATATCCTTGGAACTTTTTATTTTCTTCTGTGTCTTCTGCATGGGCCTTTGTGATTTGCCACCCCGATATACATGGGGGGATGACTAATGCCAGGTCAGACTGTTTGTCTCACTAGCACAGTAGTGTGCGTTCTGACTCTCAGTGGCTCTCCTTCCAAATGATATCATAGAGCCACGCTTTACTTACGTTGTGGCATCCACAGATGAGCTCGGCAGTGAAATGACGACTGATTGGTGAGCCTGAATTAAGTGTAACCAACACTTAACTAGTTGTGGCTCACAGTTTCTGAACTTGGGCAGGACATCTAAAGTTAACTGAACTTCTGTCGTCTTCGTCACCATCACCATCACCACCTCACTGCACAGAAACAACCTTTTGGGCGGGTGAGCATGTGGAGATGCCTCTGTGAAGTGCGGTATAACCTTTTGCTGTGTGGCCCCCCCCAAAATGTTGGGGTGAATATGTATTAAATCTTTTATAGCAAAAGTGTTGCCCTCTTAGCCATGCTTCTAATGTCCATACAGGCATGGAAAAGTCGTGTTTATCCCTGTTGGCGTGTGTGTGTGTGACTGTGCATTTGTAATGGATGGAAATGGGGGAGATTTAAAATACACCCAATGGTTATTTTCTTATCAATAGCAAACTTTATTACTTTAAGAACATATCATGCATTATATATAACTTTGTACACAAGTCTACTGTTTACTTTAGTTAACAAGTTTCACCATATAAATGTCTTCAGTTAATTCAAACAATGACTAATAGTGGTAAATATGGAACATCAAGCTGCTTCACCATTAGTTGCCAAATATATCCTGATTTTTGACAGTTGAGAAAATAAAGGTAGGGAGTGTTTAGAACAGAAGCTATTAGCATTGTAGTCCTGGAAAAGATGGTGTCTCCATGGTGTATTTGTTCTTACAAATACAGGGTTAAAGGGAGAACTTGTGTGTATGTGGCTGCAGGAGAACCGGTCCTAGACGAGAGAGAACAGGAAGGAGTCAGGCCAAGGATGAATGTTTGAGCTGCATCTAAAAGTGCCACTCTGGTTTTTCCTCCTTTCACGCACTACTGCTATTTTTTCCTCTTAGGGACTCTCTTTGGCTTGTTATTTGCTTTAGCAGTTGACTAACAGTTATGATTTGATCTACTGAAGGACATTTTGGGGATGGGAAGTCAGGAAACCAGCTGCCTGTCAGCTGTAAGGTAGCTGGGGTAGGAAAGGAAGAGGCAAACACAGGAACAATCGGCCAGCAACAACAACAAACTGTGATGGGAGTGGAGCCCAAGCAACAAAGAGCAATGTGGTTAGCCAGCTGCGGTTGCATGCTGCCTAGTTGTAGGAGGCTGAGATGAAGTCGAATGTGTGGCCAAGAGAAGACATGATGTGGACCTGTGCTGAGAACAGCCCTGAGCAGAGGGCCTTCTCCGTGGTGGGAGAAAAAATCCACCCCAGTCCAGGGAACAGTTGAGAACACGAGGAAAGCTGATTCAGAACGTGGCTTGTAGGTGCACTTCTACCATTTGTGCGCGTGAAGTTTTCTAGTATCAGATTGTTTCTGTGTTTCCATTTCCACTGCACATCCAGTTTCATCAACATTCTTAATGCATCACCAGTGCAGAGCCATAGTCAGTTGTCAACAGATATAAAGTCAGGATCTTCGTCATCTAGACCATATACTATCTTTCTTAGAAGGGCCTCCAAGTATTTTAAGCTGAAAACTGTGACTGTAGAAATTGGAGGAAAGGGCTGCCATTGTTAGCTGATCTAGGAGTGAAAAATGGGAATCTTCTTTTGTTCAAGTTATATTTTGCACAACACAAAACAAGAAAGGATTATACTAGAACTATTCAATCTCTTAAAAACTTTCACTCCAAAATAGCTATTATTTCAGGGAGCAGCTGCTTCTTTTATAAATAGTACTTTGGACTTACAGTTGCCCCTTTTTCTCTATCTTACAGGTTGTATAAGGCTTCCCTCTACCTCGTGGAGGACTGTGGAGTGGCCCATCAAATGTTCAGTGGCAGTGCCTGAACAGCCTGGATATGATGCCAAAAGTTCTCCAAATGACTTTATAGTTTGACCGAATGTTTCTTCTGGATATTTATTTCTCTCTACAAGATTAAGTGCAAAGTCCAAATCCTGCTTACTGGCAGATATTTTTATTTTAAGATCATGGACCATCCTAGCAGAGAGAAAGATGAAAGGCGAGCAGGAAAGGGAAATCCCGGAAGAAGTATGCATGGTTCCCGAGCATCAAGTTCTACTTCAACATCTGGTGTTCTTATGGTAGGGCCCAATTTCAGAGTTGGCAAGAAGATAGGCTGTGGAAATTTTGGAGAGCTCAGACTAGGTAAGAGTCTAGCAGTTGCATTTGCTTGATAAGAAAATTGCCCTGCTTGAGTCAACAGATTAAAAACCTTTTGATCAACCCAGAAGATGCCACAATTAACTGATAAACCTATTTTTCATTTTGGAACCTAGAAAATTGAGAAATAATGTATTTTCTTCACTGTTGACATTGGACTCTTTCTTTTGCAGGCAAAAATCTTTACACAAATGAATATGTAGCAATTAAACTGGTGAGTAGACTTCCAATTTTAAAACATCTTTTCAGTTCTGGATGCTAGGTAAAATAGAACAGCTTTTCTGTTACTGTTCTAGACTGTGTTTTCCTTGTCATCCTTGCAAAGTGCATTTACAGAATCCTGGTAGAATGAGGTTCTGCCATAAAGGTTTTATTGCTGCCTGGAGGTTAAGATGCCGAGAGTTTCTTAGGGCATGATCCTATACATGTTTGGAGAGAAGCAAGTTCTGGAGTCCCAGCATTCTCCAGCCAGTGTGAGAGCTGTAGGGCTTTTTCAGTTGAAACATGCCTAAATTGTGCCTTCAATAGTGCTTTGGGGTGAATAACCACTTTTTCGTTTAAGTTGCCAAATATTTTACATATTAATTAATGTTATTGCATATGTCCCAGGTTGTTTGATGTTAATTACACTTTCATAGCTGACAATGTGACCATGTAACTGGGATGCTTATCTTCAGTTTCTTAACTCTGTTGCATTTGTCTTCTCGTGATTGAAGGCCTGATATTTTACACTGGAGATTGAGAGAGCCCAAGGAGTGGGTAGCAATTTTTCATGTCTAACTTAGCTTACGGCTAGTACTATGCCATCCTTAAATGTCTGAGAAATGCAGGTCTGCCATAGAGCTCAGTTTAATTTGATAATTTCTTTGTTTTCACAGGAGCCATTAAAATCCCGTGCCCCACAGCTGCATTTAGAGTATAGGTTTTATAAACATATTGGCTGTACAGGTAAGGGATGTCTCTCCTTGGAATGAGAATAGATTGTGGCAATAAAAGTGCATATTAGAGTTTCTAATCGACATAAGCATATATTTGGGGACACATCCGCACCATTTCTAGAGATTACAGGAGCAGGTTCATCGGTGATTTTACATAATTTAACCACCGCTAATCCTTGGCTCAACTTACTGTTGAGGACTGTTGAAGTGCTCAAGATTCGTTTAACTTTGTGTCCCTAGCATAGATGTATGTAGGGACAATAACTGTATTCTGCTGCATAGGCGAGCCTGCAAATACGTCTCTGTTGAAGGTACACATAACAGCTGTACTCAGGGCTGTAGCGAATTCACAAATACCTTAACATGGTGACTCCCTTAGGAGACATGGAAGTAGCTGTTGTGGATGCCTGAAGTTGTTCAGTAAGGCAGTTATAAGACTAGCCCTGCTAGACCAGACCAAGAGCTTCCCGTCACCATTAGTGTGGGACCTTGAGATTATTAGTTCCCTGTGAACAAGCTACTCTGGGAAATTTGTTCCGGGCTTGCACATCGTGATAACCCACTGATTTCTTAACTCACAATTCTGAGTTTATCTTCTGTCTGAAAAATAAGCAAACCATGCGTGAAATGGAAAGATTACAAGTGGTGATCTGATAGGGGAAATATTTTAAAATCTACCACTTTGAATGGTTTCTGTACAATAGTAGTGATACTACTGCAGTTTTTTTGTTGGATTAATGTTTGCTTTTAATATGTTTTCAGTTGAAGGCTTCCCACAAGTGTATTACTATGGGCCATGTGGAAAGTACAATGCCATGGTACTTGAACTCCTTGGTCCAAGCTTGGAGGATCTGTTTGACCTCTGCGATAGAACATTCACTCTGAAAACTGTCTTAATGATAGCAATCCAGCTGGTGAGTAAAGAAAGGGTCTTCACAGTTTCCCAAAATTCATGTTGGTTGGTTTCTTTAATCATTCCATACCACTGCTTTACATTCTTAGACAGTTTTAGCAAATGCTCTTTAACCATATTCTTTTATCTGCAAGAAACTCAACCTGTTTGTGTGTGTGTGTGTAAATGTGTGCACACACGTAAGTGGTTTTGATCCTGTTCGGGATGGGTAGCACTCCCTCTAAAGGACAGGGTCCGCAGCTTGGGAGTGCTCCTTGACCCAGAGCTATCCCTGGAAACCCAGGTGATGGTGGTGGCGAGGAGCACCTTCCTCCAGCTTCGGCTGGTTCATCAGCTGCGTCCTTACCTGGACGAGCACTGCCTAGCAAAAATGATTCATGCCCTGGTAACTTCCCGGTGGGATTACTGTAATGTGCTCTGCATGAGGCTGCCCTTGAAAACGGTCTGGATACTTCAATTGCTACAAAATATGGCTTCCAGGTTGCTGATGAGGGCTGGTCATTAGTCTCATATAATGCTGGTCCTCTGTCAGCTACACTGGCTCACAATTGAAATCTGGGCCCAATTCAAGCTGCTGGTATTAGCCTATAAAGCCCTAAATGGCTTAGGTCCAGGATACCTGAAGGAGCGCCTCCTTCCCTATGTGCCCTCACGCCCCTCAAGATCGGCGGGGGAGTCCTTGCTCTGGGAACCCTGTCTGAAGGAAATACGGAGGGTGCCTACCCAGAGGAGGGCCTTCTCCGCAGTGGCGCTCAGACTATGGAATGTGCTCCCCAGAGAGGTCTGCCTGGTGCCGATGTTATACTCCTTCCGGCGCCAGGTAAAGACCTTTTTATTCAACCATCATTTTAATAATCGAGGGTTTTAGATGTTTTGAGATTTTTTTTCTTTTTCCTCTCTCCACAGTCACATTTTCTATTCTTTTCCTCCCTTTTCTAAGTTCACGATGTGCTGTTTATATTGTTTTAATAATTGAGGTTTTATATTGTAATTTTATATTGTGTAAGCCATCCTGAGCACTTGGTGGAAGGATGGGATATAAATGCTTTAGATAGATAGATAGATAGATAGATAGATAGATATTAAAAAAATGCACTTCTGGCTGTTAGGCTAGCAACTACAGGACGGGGTTAGCCAACCTGCTCCCCTCCAGAATTTTTGGACTGCAACTCTCATCAGTCCTAGCTAGACTGATCAGTGGTAAGGGATTATAGTACCATCTGGAAGGCACTGGCTTGCCTAACCTTGCTATATGATGTCATTGATGTGAACATTTAATTTGGGTTATTGGTCCATAAAACTGACAAATGTTTTGTAACTCAAAGCGTTTGAATAACTCATTCTTCTGTCCTTTGTAGATCAGTCGAATGGAATTTGTGCATTCAAAAAATCTCATTTATAGAGATGTTAAGCCAGAAAACTTCCTGATTGGCCGCCAAGGAAATAAAAAAGAACATGTCATTCACATAATAGACTTTGGACTGGCCAAGGAGTACATTGATCCTGAAACACAAAAGCATATACCATACAGGGAACACAAAAGTCTAACTGGAACAGCAAGATACATGTCCATCAACACACATCTTGGCAAAGGTTTGTTCAACTTAATTAATTGTCACTTTGATGAGCACTGGGGGTTTCTTTTGGGGGGTGGATAATTTATACCACTTAAAGCATTTTCCAATGCTAAAGAAATGTGGCAGTTGAATGGCTGGAATTGCAAGTCCACAATTTCAAAACTAAATGACAGAAAATGAAGTGATAGATTCACAACTGTGAAATAATTGTTGGGACAAGGAAGGCTAAACTGTAGAGGCTGGTACTGCATAGTCTTTTACACCTTCTTACCTGTCAGAAGCTTTTAATTTGGTCCAGTTGTGACTGTCATTTGTCTCTAGATAATTCAGTTTCCCTAACCCTTTCACTTCCCTTTGCACTTTGATTTAGTCCAAGCACAAGATACTCTCCTTAGCTATACCTTCTTGATACTACTGACATTTGGTGAAAGTGGATTCCAGCAGGTCAGTCCTTCAGCTGTTAAGCCATCCCACAGTCCTATCTTGACACTGCATAGAGAGCATCTTTGAAGATGTACAGCTTAGTTCCTATCGCAGTTGAGAAGGTGCATGCATCTTTCTTGGAGAATTTGCTTTAAGTGATGTAATCCTGTTTTTTCCTAGAATGCTGCGTATTTTGTTCCTGACTCATACTGAAATCCTCACATCCTAGATATGGAATCAGCTCACGCTTTACATCCTAGAGTTTGTTTGTTTATTAAAAGCTTTTCTGTACCATCCTTCACTGATTATTGGGTTCATATGGGTTCATAGTGGGAAGCCCCTTAAAGTATATGAAACAGAAATGTGTTTTTGAAAGCCCAGAATAAGTGCACCTGGTCAGCCAGCTGGGAGGGACGGTTTAATTTGGAGGCCCACACTGAGCATGGGCATGCATCTGCTGACCCCGTCTCCTCCTAGCTCTTCTGTTGTGTGATTCTATGAACCTGCATTAAGATTCTTGTTCATGGCCACTCAGGGCTCTTTTGCACACGTCCTCTGCGTGCTCCCACATGTTTTTAAATGCTTTCCTGCTTTTTATGTTGCATTGGAGCTGAGAATGTAATGGGCATTTCTGTTAGTGCTTAAAGTAGCGATGTATTTTTATGTTTCAGAGCAAAGTCGTCGGGATGACTTGGAAGCCCTTGGACATATGTTCATGTATTTCCTTCGAGGCAGTTTACCATGGCAAGGCCTTAAGGTATCTCCTTATTGCATCTGCTAGAGGCAAGTATGTGCTCTGTAAACTCGCCTCTAGCAGATGCTTCCTGTGTGACATAGATCTTTACTTTCTCCTTTGCTAACAGTTCGCATTTAATATGCATGATGTGAAGAAAACTTTGGACAGTGCCAACTGGAGTGTGTGTGTGTGTGTGGGGGGGGTTATGTTTTGCCTTAAGCCTGATCCATTGTGATACTTTGACCAACAATCAGTCAACACAGTTGCCAATGGCTTTGGCAACCAGGAACTTAATTTTGGCAATTAGCCAGGAGAAGTCATACATCTTCTTCTTGTTTTAACTGCCAGCATTTTTCCTGTTAGCAGTTAAAGTTGGCTGCAAGATAGGTTTCTATTGCTACTTACAATTCTGTTCTGCCCTTGCGTTCTTTTGCACTTTCAGTCCTCCCTTTTAGTTTTTGCTTCCAAAGATACTCTGCATGTGCTCCAATGCACTTTTATTTCCACTGGCTATTGCAAATAATGTTGGATTCCAGGCCAGGACATAATTTCTAGACTCCGTAAGACTTAAACTGGATTTGTTCAAAGAATAGTCAACATTCTGACCTTGTGCATCCCAACATACCTGATTAGTATACTTGTTAGCGATCATTAAATCAGTGGAATCCTTTGAAACTTGGAAATTATTTTGCATAAGAACAGGACTTTTCCTTTAGAGGATACCCCAAGCGAACAGGGTGCTACAAAATTAAGTTCAAGCACCTGTTGTTTAAAATGGCTCTTTTGTGGGGCAGTGCAAGGAGATGCATTGGATAAAGCAAGGGGGGCAGGAAAATTTCTGCCCCCTCAGTTGTGGTTGCAACCAAATAGTTCTAACAATTTGTATTTGTGTATTTTTTGTACCAAGTTCTGATTGGTGGATCTTGAAATTCTTCTTAAGAATTTAGAATTCAAGAAGTCTGAACTGACATAGTTCAAAACTGACCAGAGCTTACAGTTTCTGAATCTACTCTTGGTCACTCTCAGTTGCCTTCATTTGAGCAGTGTAATTGGGAGAAGCTGGTGCCTGACAGAATTGTGCGTTTACAATTGCTTAGCCATAGAGAGTTGGAAACCCTTGCTAACCTTCTGCAAACCACGCAGAGGTTTACCAGTGTATCTGGATCCACTCACTTGGTGTTAGATTTTAAATGGTTTCACGTATACTATTGGAATGCACAACAACCCTGTAAAACCCTGGGGCTTTATTGTATTGGGGTTTTAATGTATGGTTACCTTTTTTTGATGTTGTGAGCCGCCCCGAGGCTTATTGCAATGGGGCGGCATAGAAATGTTTTAAATAAATAAATAAATAAATAAAATAGGCCATATTACCAATGGGAAAGGCAGAGAGAGAGTGACTGGTCAGTGGGTGCCCCATGCGCACTTTAACAACTGCACACCTTTGCATTGTACAGGCTGATACACTAAAAGAAAGATACCAGAAGATTGGGGACACAAAGAGGAACACTCCAATTGATGTTCTCTGTGAGAACTTCCCAGGTAAGTATCAGACTGGGGGCATATTGACCATGAAAGATCCTTTCTTGAGCTAGAAGCTGGTCACCTGCTGAGGCAGCCTTTTCTGCGCTCAGCCACCACTGCAGTGACGTGCACACTGGCGTGTGCGTCGTGTGGCTGCAAACCGCAGGGCTGGCCCTGCATGTCAGAGTGAACTGGAAGGTTGCCCCTGCCCTGTGTTTGACAACTGTCACCTTGCTGCGCATGGTTCAGCACGGATCACGTCCCTCAACGTAAGAGCAGCAAGATGTAGCCAATTTAATTAAGATGGACTTCAAATCTCAGGCAAGCGTGTGCTAAGAGCTGGTTCTTAGTGTATTTTTCATGGCCTAACTGAACCTATTTCTGCCTTCAAATTAATAATTTGATTGAATATTTCTGTCACATCTATCAAGTCACGGCACATTGGCATCAACTGAACCTAGCACTCCTCACATAAATATACCGATAGTCACTGGTTTCCATTTTGTTTGTTTGTTTCTCTTTGTAACCCGACTTGTGATCCCTTCCTTCTGTGGGGTCAGGAGCCTTCCTATTTTCAACAGCAAAGTGCTTTAAGCCACTCTGCCGAGGTGATATGCCCGAACAGAAAGAAAGAAACAAACAAAAATAGTATGAGTATTTTATTTGGACATCACCAGATCTTTTCCATTGAGAGAATTGTGATATCCCAGCATACCTGCTTCCTCCTCTCTAAGTTGTTGTCCATTGGGCTACCTGAGAGTGTCCTTCCACATGTCTAAAAGGCCTCAAGGGTGCTTCGCGTTGTGTGACTGCACATCCAGCCCCGGCACAGGTTCGTTGGCCGTGCCACCCACTTTGGTAGGTTTATAATTCAGGAATTAATCTGGCCAGTAGGTAACTTCAAAATGTACTGTGCTTCTACTTCTTTCTGAACAGATTGTCTGATGTTGCTTCTTCCTAATTCCCTTTAACAGAGGAGATGGCTGCTTATCTTCGTTATGTCAGACGATTAGACTTCTTTGAGAGACCAGACTATGATTACCTACGGACAATCTTCACAGAGTTATTTGAAAAGAGAGGATTCACCTTTGATTATGCCTATGACTGGGTTGGCAGACCAATTGTAAGTTATAGGTGAATGATATATAATTACTTTTTGGATTGGTGCCCTTACCCTGATACCCCTTCTTAATGCCAGTTGCATTGCCAGTCATCTTTTCATTCGAAATGTAAAACATAAGATATCTTGTGTATTCTCTTGGAAAAGTAGATACCTGTTTTCATGTCTCCAAAAATTGTTATATAATATGAAATATCAGGCACTTTCTAGGTAGGTTATAGAGTAATACAGGTGCTGTCAGTGTTATTGCACTGAGGAGGTAGGCATGAGAGATTGCAGCCTCTCTTTTTTTTCTTTTGGTCTCTACAATAACCACAGACAGATATTTTTGCCTAATTGCAACTCTGGGTGTCCATTAACACATCCACATTAGTGGAAGTGCTGAAAAGTCTCTTGCATGTTATATGGCTGTTCCCTCCTGTCCACCCCACATTGCGTAATTAGACTGAAAACGCTGTTTAATGTGTCCCTGTGGGTGGCAACTGTAAGGCTGGGCACTGGAAGATATTACAGCCTCTCTTTTCAAGACTAGATTTCTTACAGAATTCCAGAATTATCCTAGGTCAATTCTTACAGAATTTCCACTTATATGAAATACTTGTGCACATCCCACATGTGTGCCTGATAATGAAGAAGCTCTTCCATTGTGAATAGCAAGCCAGTAGCTTTATCCCCATTCTAAATTATATAAGCATAAGTTTTCAGTAAGGAACACTTCTGTTGCAGTCATTGGAAACATACTTGGAAGTTTCAGGACAATAATCATGAAACTGACAGATGCATGCAAATTGCTCAGTTATGCAGTTTTAGTGTTGGGCAAGAGTCTTGAGAAATATTTCAGCACAGATGTATGCACTGAGAAAAATTCCATACTATCTGTGCTTGTTTTCCAAAGGCAAGGTAAGACTGAAAGCCAAGATTACTCTTCCAGACTCGGTTGCCATTTTAAGAGAATATAGAGACTGATTCTAAAATATTTTTCTCCTGTGTGATTGTATACTGAACGTGGAGTCCCCGTATTCTCATGTCTGCTGTATGTATTCTACTGGCTATGGCTTACATACTTCCTTATAATTCTGAGAATCTCTGCTATCTTGAGGAAAAGAGTTGCTCTCTAGGCATTAGAGATAACATGAGATCTGAAGAAATATATTTGTAAGGCTTGGATTATTGTTGCCAGGCTTGTCTTTGGAAAAAGACAGATTTCTTACTGAATCTGTGAATGAAAATATATGCATAGTAATTTCCATCTCAGAGAGGATGCTCTGAAACTCATGCTATATATATGCACCTCACAATAGATTTTTAATTTCAAAATGTGATATTTGCAATATCAGGCTCTTGGATCTTCTATATGGCAGGAAGACTCGGCTATTGAGAATGGGAGTATCCTGGAACAGGTCCCTGGCTGGCATTTGCTACCATATTCATGTAGATGGTGAATGTCCGCATTGCTATAGCCAGCTGAATCGTGGTAGATTTCATTTGTGGCTCTGCATGAAGGTCATTACTGTAAGACCCTGACAACAAGCACTTTGAAAAAATGAACTACTTCTCCCATGACCCTCCTCTTAGAATGCACTTTTCTAGTTGTTAAGCCAACACAGATGGTCCATTTGGATCTCACCTGCTTATTCATTTACTTATTCTTATTTTCCAGCCCACTCCAGTGGGACCTATGCATGTAGAATCTGGACCATCTGTAGCAAGAGAAACCCATGCGCATAGGGATCGATCGTCGCTTCAGCCTCACCGAAATCAGGTTTGTTAATCGGTATCTTCTATTTTAAAATAAACCTTTTGCTTTCAGACTTTACTGAAACTTAAGTGCTAAACAGGAACACAAAAAAGATGGTTGACAGTGAGGTGGTTGGAAGAGCACTCGTAATGGGAGCGCTGACATGACTGGGGAAGGCAAATAAACAACTGTGGCCTATTCTCCTGAGCCAGTTCTGTGCTGGCAAGTTACCTAATCTCCCTTGCTGGGTATGTTTTGTCTTGTCATCCAAACTTGGTAAGGTGGTGTGGCCCTAATGACTGCTGGGCATTTGGAGAGAGACAGCTTATCCATTTGAACAGGGTTTGGCCCACAGGCCTACGCGTCAACATCCCTGATTTGAAACTGACTGGTAATATTCAGGAACTGCTTAATGCACTGTGCAAACGCCATCTCTGTTTCACATGCTCACATCTGTGACAAAACAAGGGCTTGCGCTGTCTTCTTTGTGAAATCCATGTTGGCATATGCTGCTTTTGATTTACATGCAAAGGGTGGGGGCATCGTCTCATCAAAATGAATGCCTAGCAACTGCTATTTAAATTCTGTGCTCCTTTCATGATCAATGTGCTGATCATGAACTTTTTCAAGAAAACTTTGCTGTGCTTCACCCTTGCCTTTCCCCGTTTTCTTGCTCTCCTGCTTGCAAATGCCCGTGCAGACGACAACAGAACGTAGAGGAGACTGGGACATTCCAGCAACACGGCAGGCCAATGCTTTGTTTCTGGCGTCTCACTTGGCTTCAGAACGGCATGGGGGATCAGTACAGGTATTACCCTTTCTTCTCTTTGGTTGCTTCTCCATCGCAGCTGTCATCCTCACAGCCTTGTGGATTGCTTCGCAGACAAACAAGTTTTGTCATTTGATATTTAGGTTGAAACATTTGAATTGCCTCTGTGAACATGTTGGGCTGGTGGTGACATGAAACATTTGTACATGCTCAGAAGACCTCTGAGACAGAGGTGCTGGGCATTGTGGTGTTGATATTTGGCAGAGCTGATCTCCTTAGACAGAATTTGGAACAAGTCAGTGCTTGCCTAGAAGTATTTCAGTGTGCCAATTCCCTGTCACTCCCCAGGAGCCCCTGGGGGTGGGCAGGGCGGGCAGAAGTCAGAAGGGCAGTCAGGACCTTCATGCTATTGTTGCTTTGCCAATCCCAAGAAATGCAGAGAAGGCCGGGAAGGGATTTCCTTGGTGTGCTGCCAGGCAGAAGGTATTAGTTTGATAGCCACAGTTGCAGGGCCATGACAACAGGAGGAAGGAGGCAAGGGATTGTGATGTTAAATATTGCTGTAAGCTGCCCAGAGAGTACAAAAATGTAGTAGTAACAACAACAACAATTATTGGTCAACAGTCTTAATGCTCAAGCCTGATAAAGATCTGATAGATCCAGCGGCTTACACGCTTATATCTTTCATAAACCAAGATGGAAAATTTCACAGCAAATTCTCTGGAAATTTCACTTTTCATGTTTGTTTTATGGCCCATATGTAGCTTTGATAACATCAGCACTGTGCTTCATAATATCACGGCCTTTTTGTTCTGTCCTTTCCAGGTGGTGAGCTCAACCAATGGTGAGCTGAACATCGATGAGCCCACAGGAGCACCATCCAGTATACAACTTGCGGCCCGCACTGAGGTGGAAGTAGTGGAGGAAGCTAAGTATGTTTGCCGTCCAGGCAGGTCTCCCCCTGCATCTCCTGTGTGCAGAATACGTTTTCGTGTTCCTGTGTTTGATGCGAATATCCATAAGCTGCTTTCAGATCTTTGTTTTTTGCATGATAACCACAGTGATGCGGGTGGTGTGTCAGCTTCTTTTCATTTCTGCTGCTGAAGTAATGCTGCTTTTGGCCAGAGCATGTGTTGCAAATTGGACAGAATTATTTCCAACATGTTGAGAATCGCATACGCAGAGGCTGGGCTCTGGTTTCTGTCCTTAATGCTGTGTATGCATCAACAAGCTCAGTTTCTTTTGGGGGATGTTGAAATTGAATGTAGAAACCGAAGCCGCCTTTTCCCACTCATCTTGGGGATCCGAGGTCATGGGTTCTGCACAGAGTACTCACGCTTGCAAATATATTTTGAGTAGCCCATCAGCACCTTCTTTGGCCACGGACATCTTAAGTTGTTTGTAAGCTGCCTGCTGAGTGTCGCAAGGGGGTTTTGTTCTTTGACTTTTTGCCTAGGTGTTGGAAAACGATGCTTTGGCCGTGCCCCCACCCCCCCATCTCTGCCATCCAGTGTTACTCCGCATGATCTGTTGCCACCACATGAACCATACTGTGGAGCCTTCTCCCAGTGATCGGCAGTCATCTCCTTTCTTTAAACAGGGAGTCAGCACACACTTAAGGAGTCGTTGTGGGTAGAAGGTTCCTAACAGAAGGCGTGGCAGTCCGATGGACTCACCATGTGGCTCTGGTGACTCTCTCAGTAACCCAAATGGTACTCGTTCAGGTTCCGTGGCCGGCATTGTGATGCTTGAGTCCATATACTGAGAACGGATAGGAAGCTTACTTGCCAGGAAGGGCAAGGGTGTGCAGGACCTTTAATTGTGCTTCAGGTGTGAATCTCCAGCTGAGTGGAACTAATCACCTAGTACTCCATTACCCAAGAAACAGGTTATCATTTTGCAGACATTTGTATCTTCACCCCTAAGGAGAGCTTCATAGCCGTCTCAGGCTTCAGGGTGGCAGTGTTTTAATGTGTTTAAAGAAATGCTTGTGGCAAACTTAAAAATTACACTTTGTTTCCCAAATAAGGGCTTTGTATTTGTTGCTCTGCAGATGGTCAGTATTTTCCTTTAGATGAGAGTGCGGTGGGAGAGAGAGATTTAAGTGCTTTGGACTTTTATTCCTACATTATACAGGGCTGTGTGCAGGAGAACCTCCCAGTGATTCAGTAGTAGACTAGTTTTCAGCAACTGCCACTCTAGTTGGTCGGGCCTCAATATCTGCATGTCTCTGTGGGCAAGAGCTCTGATTATGTGCTTGTTTCGCTGTCCTGTGTAAGAGGGCTTTTTGCTCCGATGCAGGCACTGCAGCATCAGCTAAGCTAAACGAGGCCACTTCTCTCGTGAAGCCAAATGATAGAAAGAACCCAGAAGGGAACCAAGAAATAATTTTTCTGTAGTGAACTTGTTGCTGTCGTCACTGTTGTAGCACCATCCTTGCACATTAGCTCTGACATCATATTATGTCTTGGGAGACCTACTCCCAGGTAAGTGTGCCAAGGGTGCTATTAATATGCCATTCTTTGCTGATGCCACAGCCTGGCTATATGAAGAGTGGTTTTCTTCTGGAATGCAACCGTAGGTTAGGAGCATTAATATTCACTGGAACAAATTACAGTTCTTTTCTAGTACAAACAGTCTGTGGCTACTGCCTCACTGTACTCTACCTCCTCTGCACCTGATCTTTCTGTGGAAATTGTAGCTCCAAGCTTTACCCTCACTTTTTGGGTTTGTCAAGGATTTTCAAGATGCTGAAACTTCCATGCACCATGATACAATTATAACAAGGTACAGCTACATAAGGGAAATGACTGATAACTTTTTGCTGTACAAAGAGATGTGTGAGCCTGTTAGTTTTAATAGATTGCACATAACTGTGCCTAGTGTTGGGCTAAAATTAGTGTTTGGGAGTAATGTAGTAAACTCTGGAAAGGAAAAATCTGTGTTCAGCTGTTTCTTGCTTCTAAGTAAGACATTGCCTCTCCTGCCCAGCTTTTTATTCTTTCTTGCCCATTCACCTCCCAACCATGACTTATTATTTATTTATTACTTGTACCATTACCTTCTGAAATGCCTAGCAGACAGTAGAAATGTTGCCCAGGTTCAGTTTCCTTCTTGGATGAGTTTGCCATGCCTGCTGCGTGTTTCCTGCAATTATTTTGCTTCTGAAGGCTTCCTGTCCGCTTTCTTTTCCTACTGTAAAAGGCCTTGTAATATTTGTGCTGGAGTGTGACACGATCTGCTAGTGAATTTCCATCTAAACCTCTTTTCTTCTTCTACACTGCCCAGCATCTTCCTTTGTGTCCTTAAAACTGTTTACTTTTTCATTCATTCATTTTATTTATTTATAGCATTTTTATGCCTCCCCCATCACAGAAAGCCTCGGGGTGGCTTACAAAACAGATAAACAAATATAGAATAAACATTAAAAATCCAGAGCATCTCGGCAACACTATAAAGCCAATAAATAGAAACAGCGATTAACAGTTAAAATATCGTTTAAATAAAAAGGTCTTGGCCTGGCACCGAAAAACAAATAATGACGGCACCAGGCGGACCTCTCTGGAGAGCGCATTCCATAGGTGGGGCGCCACTGCAGAGAAGGCCCTCCTCCGGGTGCTCACCCTCCTAATATCCTTCACAGCGGGTTCACGAAGAAGGGCCTCCTTCGCCGATCTCAGGGGGCGGGAGGGCATATATTTATCATATCTGACTCTAAATTAGTTCATTTCTGCACCACCACCACCACCAGTTTTACAACCTGCCATCCTCTCCCATCCTTTCCTGCCTCAGCTTTCCTGCTCTGTTTAGACTTTTATAATTTGGTTACATAGGTTTTCAGGTACTCAAATATTTCTCTATCCTTAAATGGTCCTGATAGTTCTTCAGCGATATCCCCGCAGAATTCCTTAGACATGTTGACTGTGATCAATTTCACTTTTTGTCTCTGTTTTCCTCCAGTCTGATTTTTACCAGATCAATGCCATCGAAGCTTCTCTTAGAACACTTCCAATACTTTTTTCTGCCCAAATCTAAGAGCTTCCTCTTTATTCTTATTGTGCAATCTGGCACTTTAGTAATGTCAATTTGCGTTCTCCTCCTGGGTTCATTTTTCTCCTTCCCTCTTGTTACTCTCCTCAGCCTTCTTTGACTTCTGTTTCATTTTTCTGCTCACATTAGAGATCTGCTACCAGTCAAAATTTAACAATTTGCTCTGTTGGCTCTCCTGTCCTGTGCTTGCAGCATTTATGCTTAAATTCTCTCATGTATCTACTTTAAGTGAATTATGTTACTTCAGTTGCATTGCTGGCATCTTTTTCTGTATGCCTTGCAAGACTCCCAAAATAAAGGGTTTCGGGTGTAATCCTATGCATGTTTAGACAAAAAATGTCCTACAAGTCCTACATTTTCCAACCAACATGGTTTGCTGTGGCATCCTCAGAACTGTAAGGCATTTTTCTATCTAAACATGCATAGTATTGCACCCTTAGACTGCAGTCTCATGCACACAAGTCCTGCTGAACTCTAGTACTTACTTTGAAGCAGATCGGTGTGGGATCTTGTAAGAGTAGAGCTATTAATCTTTCCAAACATGCATTTGAAACATGGTGTTGGAGGAGAGTTTTGCAAATACCCTGGACTGAAAGAAAGACAAACAAACGTCTCCAAGATCAAATCAAGTCAGAACTTGCCCTGGAAGCAAAAATGAAGAAAACGAGGCTGTTGTACTTTGGGCATATCATGAGAAAACAAGACTCATCGGAGAAGACAATGATGTTAGGCAAAGCTGAAAGCAGAAGAAAAGGAGGATGTCCAAATATGAGACAATCGGATTCCACAAAGAAAGCCACAGCCTCAGTTGAGCAGGGCTGTCAGCGAGGGGCATGCTTGTGCGCACTTGTCCATAGAGTCGCCATAAGTTGGAAATGACCTGGCAATAGCAGCATCTATGTTTCTATCCAAAAACTTCCTCTTCTTCCCTCTCTCCTCTTCTATCACTGGCAGAAATTTTATATTTGTCCTATTGTATGCATGGGAAACATTGGATGTTTCCCTTTTTTGCTATCTTAATACCACTATTGCTTCCCTTTTTATACCTCTCAGTGCTAAATACCCTCATCCATGCTGTTTTGAGTATCATATCCTCTTTTTGTTGGACAATGCCACTAATTGTCATTCTTCTTGACAATTAGTGACATTTTTTAATCTTTCTGTTACTGTCCTCACCAACTTATGTCTTGTCTTACATTTAAGGATCTTCCCTCTGAGGCTCCTAAGTACAAACTGATTGGATGATGAGCTTTCTATTTTGGCTTCCCTTCTGCTGCTGTTTCTGTTTTGCCTAAGTTTAGACTATGGTTTTTGCACAAAGAGCGTTACTTTTCTCTTCTGTAGCACATAAGGAATTCTAGATAATGTGGTGGTAGTGATGGTGTTAACAAGTAAGTGTACTTTATTTCCAAAATATGTAGGGAGACTGAGTTCTCTTCAAATTATAAATTAATTTGTAAGAAAATTCGGGGTTAAATTTGGATCAGCTCCCATGTTCCATCAAAGCACTACATTATGTGCATCAGGACCGTTCTAGCCAGCGGTTTTTAGAAGTTCCTGGCAATCTTTCCTAATTGTGTTCCTCAAATTTGAAAGGTTAGAAATGTTCGCTAGAGTCCACTAGAGTATATTCCCATCAGTCATGATATTCTGGCTCCAGTGTCTTGGGCTGTAATGAAAACTTGTCTTTGTGTACCTCAGGAAGCCCCCCCCCCCCATCATGGTGTTCCTCCACATCTGTTGCAGGAGGTCAGGTGGAACCAGGTTGGGGAAGGCAGATGGACCTGGCGTGTACCATAGATACGCACTGCATGTTTGCATGACTGGCCATGACATGACTCCATCTCACCTCTAAACTAACGCTTTGTTTCCTTCCTTTCTG